TAAAAATATATATTTTATTGAATATTTTACAGAGAGGAAGGGAGAGCGATAGAAAGTTAGAAATATTGGTCAACTGCCTCCTGTACACTCCCTACGGGGGTGTGCTTGACCAGAATCGAACCTGGGACCTTTCAGTCCACAGGCAGACGCTCTATTCACTGAGCCAAACCAGTTAGGGCATGTCACAGCAGTTTTGCATGCTTCTTTTAACACAATGGTCAAGATTAGGACAACTTTTCTTTTTTAGCTAGGTGTTTGTTTTTTAAGATTTTTTAAAATTGATTTTTAAAGAGAGAGAAAAACATCGATGTGAGAGTGAGACATTGATCAGCTGCTTCCTGCATGCTCCCTGCCGGGGATGGAGCCAGAAACCCAGGCTTCTGTCCTGACCTGGAACGGAACCAGGCAACTTTTTGGTGCTCTGGTGTCATACCCGCCAGGGCCAGACAATTTCTTAACACTTGGCATAGAGGCATACTTTAAAAAAAAAAGTGATTATAATGGAAAAATCAATGCCAATGCTACATCATTGATGATGATGTTACACTTTATTTATATTCATTTGTTATGATAAAATTACCCCAATTTCTGTGAAGTGGCTGTGAAAAATGACTACTTGTTGATTTACTAAGCAATATTAGATTTTTTTTTAATTAAAAAATTTTTTTAAATTAATTTGGGGGAGAGAGAGAGAACATCAGTAATGAGAGAGAATCATCAATCTGCTACCTCCTGCATGCCCCCTACTGTGGATCAATGCTGCATTTGCCCTGACCAGGAATTGAACTGTGACCTCATGATTCATGGCTCATCCACTGATCCTTACCCGTTGGGCTATTAATCTTAAAAGATTAGATATGAGAGAGATGGAAAGTGTTTGACTGATTGATGGTGGACTCGTTTAGATTTAGAGAAAGCAGGTAAAATTGAGTTATTGTAAATTAAATGATAAGTACATGCTTAAGGAAAAAAAAATACTGTATAAGCAATCACCATTAAATTATAAGTAACTTAAGGCAGAGAGGTATATAGAATATACCAAGATTATAGTTTCCCTTGTTTTTAGTTGAAAACCAAATAGGATTATACTAAATTCAAGTTTTAGTTCAAGAATTGTCAAGTGACACTGAAAATACTTCTAGCTATGGGCATTCCACCTCACCCTCACCTTGAACATATCATTTGCTGTACATTTCTTTGTATTTAAAGTGAATATTGTCCCAATAATTAGGCAAGGGAGGAGGTAGGAAGAGAAATATTTAGGTTTGTAAAAATGCACGCTCTTAGTAATTAGATTAGCTAGAGACCAAATTTTCTGGTTTTCCTTGGGCCTCCCTGCTCCATCTATCTATATATATAAAAGCTTAAGTGACCATTCGACTGGCCGACCAATAGCTGTGAAGCGTATTGACCACCAGGGGGCTGACGTTTAACGCAGGAGCTGCCAAACTTCGGTGCCGTGGCTGCTGTGGTTCTTGGGTGACACCTTGAACCAGAAGAGGAGGGAGCCTGATTCCGAGGCACATCGCCTGCGAGCAATCCAGGACCCCTCAGGGAATGGCAGATAGCCAGTTTCTGCCCAGTCCCGATAGGCCAGGCTGAGGGACCCCGTTAATGCACGAATCGGTGCTCTGGGCCTCTAGTGTTTCATAGTTTCCTTATTGATGTCATCATAGGGATTATAAAGAATGTCATCATAGGTAATTGCAGTCCAGAGAGGAAAATTGACACACTCATTGTGGAATCTGGGACAAGAGCTCAAGAACTGGGACAACAATTTACTTTCTGCCCTAATAAGTAGGGTGACCTCTGGGGAAGGAATTTCCTATTTTGTTATGATTTTCTAAATCATAAATTAATAGCTACCCAGAGACAGGAGGATAGATATAAAAATGAAATGAGCACAAAAATCATTATTTTTAAAATATGTTTTTATTTCAGAGAGGAAGAGAGAGGGATAGAACATCAATGATGAAAGAGAGCCATTGATTGGCTGCTTCCTGCCTGCAACCCCGGGCATGTGCCCTGACCGGGAATCAAAGTGACCTCTTGGCTCCTGGGTCGATGCTCAACTGCTGAGCCACACCAGCTGGGCTAAAAATTAATTCCTAAGGAAATTGAAAATATAAATTATTTTGGCTATGTATGAAATAATTATTATCATTTATTATGATTAATTCTGGGCCAGATAGCTGCTTACTTTACATTACCTCATTTAATTTTTACAATAGCCTTATGAGAGGTAGGTATTGTTACACTTATAGGAAAAACTGAGGCTATAATATTACACTAGTACATAGCATAACTGGTATTCAAATTCAGATGTGTCTGACTCTAAGCCAAGCTGTGAACCACACTACATGATATACTTGGGCTTTCTTTTTTTTCTTTTTAAAAAAAAAAATATTTTATTTATTTTTTACAGAGAGGAAGAGAGAGAAAGAGAATTAGAAACATCAGTGAGAGAGAATAATTGATCAGCTGCCTCTTGCATACCCCGCATTGGGGATGTGCCCGCAACCAAGGTACATGCCTTTGACTAGAATCGAACTTGGGACCTTTCAGTCCGCAGGCCGATGCTCTATCCACTGAGCCAAACTGGTTTAGGCTAGGGCTTTCTTTTCAACTTAACATGCCTTTATAAGAAGAAATAGGGTATGAGAAGCCCATTCAAAACTTAGTCCATCTATATGTAGATCCCTTCTGATTTAAAAGAAGAGTGTTTTGATTTGTTTCCACTTTAGTATTATAAATTTCCAGCAATTGGAAAAGTTTGTAGTGATAATTCACTCCCTCTAAAAATTAGTAAACATAGTCTAGTAGCATCTAGCCTTAACCTTTTATTTTATTTTTAAACAGAAGCATTGTTTCCTTCATCTTGAGAGATTACAAGAATCACAAAAGGTCACTATACAGATATCACAGGTTAGAGAGATTGTACCCTTTTCTGGATAAAGAGCATAAGTCCAATGGCACAGCCTTATATATAAGAATGGGTTGAAATTTACTTTATTGAGATGAACTAAATCACATTCCCACATACCCTATTCATCTTATTGAATTGAGAGCTACCATGTATTATAATTAACCTCCTATTCTGAAGAGTGAAGGGAACTGGACAAAACATAGCTAGCTATGCAGCTTTTTATGACTTGCTTTCTAAAATTATTTCCCCAATTTCATGAAAGTTTGTTTGTAGTATATAAAAGTTACCAGTAAAAATAGCAGGCTTTCTGTGTTATACTCTCAAATGAGTTGCCACAGAAATAATAAAATAAATGAAAAGTTATGAACACAAACTTCAGAAACTGTAGAAATTATAGATCTTCTGTTTGTATCATTGGGCAGAAAGTTTACTCTTAGAATTTTCTTTTTTAAATGTGTTTAAGTTGATCTGATATTTATTTTGGAACAAGATGGCTCTTTAAACTTTGCTTATTAATTTGTTTCTAAATGTGATTCGTTAGTCCAAAGTAAAAGATTTAAAGATCTGTGCTCTTTATTTGATAAAGAGATATGATAGAAAATGTTTATTGAGTATTGTAAGTAAGTAAATAAATCAAGTATAAATATAGATGAACATATAGCCTTGTTATTAGTCTTTTGGCAGTGCCCAGAAGAAAAAAAAATCATAGCTGTGGTCTTTAGGAAGATTTATTTATTTATCTGTTTATTTACTTATCAGAGGGGGGGGAGAGACATTGATGTGAGAGAAAATCATTGATCAGTTTCCTCCTGTATATGCACCCTGTCCAGGGCCAGGGATTGAAGCCTCAACCTTTTGGTGTGTGGGCTGATGCTCCAACCAACTGAGCCTCATCCATCAGAGCTTGCTTAGCTTTTTTTATGAGGGAAGGTAGAACCTCTCTGATAATCAGAGGAAATACTCCATGATTGCTCTCTAGCCATATGGTCATGTTTTTATTTTCGGATTATGAGTTGTAGTTTGATTTCCTCTTCAGTTAGTTGTTTTCTGAGTAGTTTGTAAACTAAAGAGGATTTATATTTCTTCAAGTAATAAAACTAGTTTTCTCTCCTGGTTATACAATACATTGATTACTTGATAATACAGAGTTGGGTTTATATTAGTCCTTGAAATTTCTTTGCAGATTAGTTCTTAAGCTTTCAAAGAAATTGGGTAGACTTTTGGATTTAAGAATTTCAAGAAGCTTATTGGGAAAATGTCAGGTTGGAAGTACTGCCTGAAAGTTCCCTTCCCCCAGTAACTTTTTCCTTGAGATTTGGGGACTTGCTTTATTTTTATTTGTACACGTCATACTATAAGTACTCACATTAAAATTCCACTTCAAAATAACCTACTGCCCCTTTGCTTTATTTATTTGCATTTGACCTTTTTTTGACTGTGGTCCAGTTAATATTTTAAAAATTCCATTCTCTTCATGTGTATTTAAACTATTAATAACACAGAAATGTTCATTATAAATTTATATACAAATATTAGTTTTCCATATTCACTGGAACCACCTACAAGTTGGAAAATAAGTTGGTGCTTTTAATGTTACTCAACTAATAAAGTTCCCTGGATTGTTATAGAACTCTCATCAGTTGGTTAGAGAAAAGGAGTTTTGGCAATTGTTGATAGGAGTACACCAAATTTTGTCTGCCATTTTGATATAAAAGCACTTGAATAAAAATTTAAAATTACTCTCTGAACTTTTAAGCCACTGAGCATATTCTTTGATGTGTTGAGAAGTTTGGTCATTGCTGCCTACTTTGTAATGATTGAATATGATTTGTCCTTTTCCTACTTTTCTTCCCTTTAGTTTACAGCAGAGAATGAGCAAAGGAAAGAGTAGATTATGGAGTTTAGGTAGTTAATCCTTACACTTCTGTCTATATGAAAGAGGAGGATTAGCAATTGCATGTGCACAGATAATATCTTAAGTTTATAAGCATATCTAGAGTCTTTTTTTATTAATTGAATTAGATGTGTTCTTAAAATACATTGAACTAATTTATCAAATGGCTTTCCCCCCCAGTTCTGTAGAAAATGTACTCAAAACACTCGTGAAAAGCTGCCGACCGTAAGTAGCTCCTCAATTTATATAAAGCCTCATGTTGTTTCTATGGGCCTTTCCCTGTCTTTAATTTGCTTTGAAGAGGAAATTAAAGGTATAAATAGTTTCTGACCTTGTGATGATAGTCAACATGTCATTTCCAACTCTTGAACTGAAATTTTCATATTTCACTTATAAATTTAGAAAATTTTAAATGGTTTACCAGTCACCAACTATAAAATAAAAATGCCATAATTTACATATAATCATATTAGTTTTAAAGGTTATCCTAGGTTATTGTTATTTAGATAAAAACAACTTTTTCAAAATGGGCATTGTAGGGGAATTGCATTAAAATTGAGTGTAATAAGAAGATGTGGTTCATACATTTTTTTCTAGTGTGTTCTCTTTCAGTAGAATATTTGCCTTTAGCTTCCATATTCTATTTAAATATAAATATGTATAGAATTTAGTATTAATATTTGTCCAGTTCTTTGGACTTAGATATATTTTCTGACTCTTGTTTATGACATTATTCTCAGACAACTTATCCTACTATGGATACGGGACCTCTTTTGAATGGAAATCGCTATGTTTATTGTATGCTGTAATATGAGTTAAAGTTATTTCACAAATCAGATTGCTTATCTACAATACTCAGTCTTGGGCAATTGTATATTCAATAAAATGTCTTCATTTTAAGAGGCTTACGTTGTAACTTGAGTCATAAGCCACCAATGAGCAATGCCATTTTGTACTAGGCAGTTACTCTCTTGGCCTATGTGTTTCCTCACTGGAAACTTAATCATCGCTGGGGTATTTACTGGTTTTTAGGTTCTTGGGTAATTCATAGAGCACCCAAGCTTTTATTTTGGATTACCAGGCTAATAAATAGTTAACTCTGAAAAATTAGGAAGGGAAATTGATGTATGAAATCTTTAAAGGCAGAATATTTTCTGCATTTTTCTTTTAATTCTAACCTGTTTAACAGTGCCCAAACATATAAATGTGTAATACATTCAACAGAAATAGTATGAGTATGTAATTTTATTTTCACATCAAGGAATGAAGTGTGATTCTAATAAACACAAGTGTATAAAATGTAATAGGATTTAATAATATGATGTATAAATCTAATTTGAAATATTTTTTTTTTACCTTTTTGTCCATACCCAAATCAGAACTTCTCATACTTTTTGTTTTTCTAACCCCCTTAATAGGTATTTGGAAAATTATATCTGGGTTTTCTTCATCCCTTTACCCTCATTTTGTGTATGTGTGTGAGTATACACACACACACCACACACACACTTCCTATTTTGATTTTTAAATCTCTAGCTCAAGAATGCCCCTACCCATTTAATAGAATTGTACAACGTTAGACCCTGCAGCACCAGATCATCTAGTCCAGTCCTCTCTTCTCTATAGGAGGACTTTGTGGTCAGTGTAAATGGTTTGGCCACATGTGCTAAGCAATTGATATTCTCTTTCTCACTTTAGTTCACTGTTACTCATTTTTTTTATATAGACAAAATTTTTTTCTATTGCTATTACATAGTACACAGGAAGAAAATATACAAACATGTTTAAATTTGGAGGTGATTTGAATGACTTTGTATTTTATCTGAGTTTTTTCAACTTTGTAGCATTTTTCTAAGTCCCCTAGACAAGAAGAAAATTTACCTTAATGTGTTTCTTTCTTTCTTCTTTTTAAAAAAATATATTTTATTGGTTTTTTTAGAGAGGAAGAGAGAGGGATAGAGAGTTAGAAACATCGATGAGAGAGAGACATCGATCAGCTGCCTCCTGCACACCCCCTACTGGGGATGCGCCCGCAACCAAGGTACATGCCCTTGACCGGAATCAAACCTGGGACCTTTTAGTCTGCAGGCCAACGCTCTAGCCACTGAGCCAAACCGGTTTCGGCTTAATGTGTTTCTTATAAGCTAACATGCTCCTCCTTATTTTGTCAATCATGTATTTATGTTAGAGAGTTTTTAGCCAGTGATCAGATACATGAAAACCTTTCTTTTTATTAGATATTTTCCAGCAGATTCGACAGCGGAGATGCTAGAAGAATGGCGGCCTTTAATGTGCCCTTTTGATGTAACAATGCAAAAGGCCATCACTTATTTTGAACTATTTCTTCCTACCTCCCTTCCTCCAGAATTGCATCATAAAGGTTTTAAGTAAGTATTTACATATCATGAGAAATTCTAGAAAATAGCAGGAACTACAGATAGAGGCAAACTAGTAAAGCAGTAATAAGTACAGAAAAATCACCTAACTCAACTATTATGTTTATTATGCTTGAAGTGTGTGAAAGCTAACTCATTTAAATATGAGATTATAAATAGAGAATAATGCTTATATATCAAGCCAAATAGGATGAGAGCTTGAAAAGAGAAAGAACATTACCTTAAGAAAGGAGTGGGAATATCAAGTATCTTGGGCAATTTTAAAGATTTGTTTAACAATATTCTAACATTTTCTTGCCCCTATAGTCTCTATTTCTTTAATTTGAGATCATTTCCCCCATTGTAATTTAATTGCACTTAACACTTTGTGGCTAGTTTCTTTTGTGGCACATTTATTATAGTGCTAGGTAATGACTTAATTACTAATTGGGTTCTTAAAGACAAGAAAGTAAGGGAGAGTTTTAAGAACAGGTAGTATTAAGAAAACGTTTAATGAGAGGTGGGAAGAGGAAGGAGAAACTTGTAAATAGTACCAGATAGGGTGGACAGTAATTACTTGACAATGAAGTAGAAGTATTATGAGATTATTTTTATTTTATTTTATTTTTTAAATTTCTTTATTTTTAGAATAAATACATTGGAAGGATGATGTTCAGGCAAAAATGGTCCTTTATGACATTAAGTTTATAACTTTCATTATTATTTTTCTAGATTGTGTGGTTTTAGTAAGAATAATAGAGTAAAAAATACAAAGAAAATGGCTTTGAACCATTTTCTATAAGTCACTTGCTAGTCATAACAATATTTTTTTTTCCCTTCAGACTTTGGTTTGATGAATTAATTGGCCTTTGGGTTTCAGTGCAAAATCTCCCACAGTGGGAGGGGGTGAGTATCCCATTTTTTCTTCTATACTTTTTAGTTTGGAAATGGTATATGAAATAATTTGATAAATAACTTCAGTTCCCTAGAATTGGCTATTATCAGTGTTGTAATCAGCTTTTAAATTTTTATTTGCTGTATTTTAACAGCAGTAGGCATTTCTTTATTTGATTTTATTAATATATTGAAGTATGCAAGTGTAATGGGAAATGCATGAAACTGTAAGACCCTGCTTGTTTCCTTTTGTATCCTCACTAGCATGGTGCTGGGCACATAGTAGGTGTTTACTGGATTAAAGTTTCTTTTTTTTGTTTGTTTGCATTGTGCATAATGCTATGTTTTCCTATTCATTTTTTAATTGTTATTTTTAAAATATATTTTTTACTAATTCCAGAGAGAGAGAGAGAGAGAGAGAGAGAGAGAGAGAGAGAGATTGAAACACCAATGATGAGAGAATCATTGATCAGCTGCTTACTGGGGATGGAGCCCGCAATCCAGCATGTGCTCTGACTGGGAACCAAACTGTGACCCCTCCTCCCCCCCTGCTTCATAGGTCCATGCTCAATCACTGAGACACACTGGGGTGCTATTCATTTTAAATGGTTGACAGGAATCAGAACTTAAATTTTGAGATTTTAAAAAACTGAGTTATAGAATATATATTAAATCAAGTTATGCTAATACTGATTGCTAAAAAGAACAAATGAATGAGGTGTTAGACTGTGCCATTTCAAAACAACAACAAATGTGTTTACTTAATTTCTTTTTTTGTTTACTTTCAGCAACTAGTAAATCTCTTCGCACGATTGGCTACAGATAATATAGGGTACATAGATTGGGATCCATATGTACCAAAGGTAATTAAGAACATTTGAACATAAAACATACAATAGCATTGATAGCACTTTTATGTCATTAAGAAGAAAAAAATTAAGTATTTCAGGGTGTCATAAATTCATACTTTGCAACAAATTTTGTGTATTATATTTGATTGCTATTCTAGTGTTCTCCACTTTTTAGATCACATTATATATATTTCCCTAGATTAAAAACCGGAGTTTCTCTAGGTGCATTGTTCTTAACATTGCATCTTTTGTATTGTTTCACCTGAAGCAGAGTCACTTGTGGCATTTCAGGAGGGCTGGAATGGGACATCCAGTGATTCTGAAGCAGCACATAGTGAGAGTAGTGCAGAGCTGGGGACCAGCAGAAGGCAAAAGCTCTATGTCTTTGCTGTGCTGTTGCTGGCCAGTAGAGAAACGAAGGAGGAGAAGTAATTTTTCCCTACCTTTGGGCCCCCTATCTGTTAATAATAACAGATTTAAAACATAGATTTAATTATATTAGAATGTAATTACTAAATGACAGATTAAAATGCAAATTGGGAAAGGGGGGGCAGATATCAAGTCAGTGTTACGAATTAAAAAATTTGGAATCTGCCAGAAGGTATTTCCATTTTGTGTATCCTTGGCATGGAATTGGAGCATAAGAAAATAACTTTTGTGCATTTAGAGAGACAGAAAGAGGTCAAAACTTAACAAGTTTAACTTCAGGTATCTACGGTTTGCCTTTTTATGTTTTATTATCTCTCCTTTGTCTGTTTTTTTTGGGGGGGGTACATGGATATCACTGTATTATATCCACATGCCTGTGACCTCAGAGTGTCATTTTTAAAAGTTGTAGATATTTTCTATAATTTTTAAAGAATAAAGCAGAATACTAAGCAGTATGTAATTTGCTTCAAAACTGATCAAATGAGACCACATTCAATATCACTAATACATAACATTTAAGTTATTTAAGGGAAGTTATTTAATAACTGTACATATTTATTTTTAATTCTCTTTTTCTTAAAGATATTTACAAGAATTTTGAGAAGCTTGAACCTCCCAGTGGGAAGTAGTCAAGTGTTAGTCCCAAGATTTTTAACAAATGCTTATGATATAGGACATGCTGTAATATGGATCACCGCTATGATGGTTGGTAATACATTATATTTGTTTTATGTAGTTCATCCAAATTTTGTGTTAACCATACTATATATGTGTGTGTGTCTATATAGTGGATATATATATATAAAATCACATATGTCTATGTAGTGGTTTAATTGGTCACTTGATTTTGGATATTTTCAGACCCAGAATGTATTCATAATGTACCATTTATTATTGTCTGTAACCAATGGGCCCTAAAAACTCTGAGTTTAGAGTTTTGAGAAATTGAGAATGTCTAACAGTTTTACAGGCCAGGAACCAGACTCATAGATAAAAGGATTTTCTCAAAGTCAGATTGAGGTTACAGGCATGTGGATGTAATTGTTAGAATTTTTAAACTTTTATTGGTATTTTGCTGTGGAATTACAGTTTCTTAGTGGTTGTCCATTCTAGAGTGGGGAACAGGAACGTGGATTTCATTTCAGTAAGGAGACAGGCTCCTAATGTAACTGACATTCTACCTTAGGTCTGTGGTTTTTCTTGAAAGAAGATCACCTTGAGGCAGATAGGAGGTTTCAGGCCTTTATTCCCAAGGCCGTTCAACTTGATAAGATCAATACTAGCTTTTTACCTTTTTCCTCTAACTTATGTTGTTGTTTGGTTTGTTTGTTTTGACAATATATTAAGAATTTTTTTTTGAGTCAAAATGTGATCACATATAACAGGTTTACTCATTTGAACATTTACATTTAGAAGTAATAAAATATTTTAATGCTCTTACATCTTCATTTCCTGCAATGAGAAATTCACTTCTTAAATCATTTAAGGATTTTTTATACTCTGTTTTACCACTCTTGATTATACGATAATCTTCATAATAAAAGTTATTTGATTGCACAAGAGTAAACGATACAGTTATCCTAAATTGAAAAATAATACTTTTTCAATTTTTTTCTTTTTCTTTTTTTTATTAAATTATTATCTGTGTATATATCTTACCATTCCCCTCCCCCCTAATTCATACCCTCCCTCCCCAGATCTTTGTGTCCATTAGTTGTACTTATAAACTTTTCAGTTTTTAAATTTGTTTTCAGTAAGTTGCCCTTATTTTTAATAGAATGTTTTGAATCAATATGTATGAAGTTCATTGGGGGAATGTTTTTTCAATCCTATTCAGAGGTAGAAATGATTTTTGTCATCAGGATAAATATAAACCACAGAGTATAATGGAATTACTGATATTTTTACTCCTATATCTGAACAGGGTGGACCAAGTAAACTAGTGCAAAAACACTTGACTGGTTTGTTTAACAGCATCACATCTTTTTACCATCCTTCAAATAATGGGCGCTGGCTGGTGAGTATATTCATTTTTCACTCTAGGTTTTGGAATTTTTTGAGCTATGGCCACATGTAACAATTACGTGTTAGGTAACTTGTACTGTGTTTTCTGTCCTTCATATCATCTTTGGCTATATGTAAATGATTACATTCAAATTAAGTTACTAAGTTCATAGAACATATCTAAGTAAACTAAGATAATACTGATGTGATAACTAGTGACAGAATACTACATTCTGGCAACAAAATAATAACAAAAATGACACCAAAGCATGGAATGAGCTTTTCAGTTTGTTTGTCACTTTGTGTGTTTTGTTTTGTTTTTTAAGTTTTCTGTTAAAATGGCTTTTCATGTAATGGAAGGTTAATGTGGTTTTGGAAGTTAAAGCAGAAATTTGAAATATATTTGTATTGACTATATTTAATTGGTTAGAGCATTCTATTTTGTCTAAATATACTATCCAAGTCTTTGTAATAAAAGTATTAGAGCTGTTATCTTTAAAATCTTTACTGGGAGGGTACAGAGGAACTATGAATGTCTGTCTGTGAGATGGAACCTCCCGTTTACTTTTTGCTTCTTGTCCCCAGAACAAGTTAATGAAACTACTTCAGCGGTTGCCAAACAGTGTTGTTCGAAGATTGCATCGTGAGAGATACAAGAAGCCTTCTTGGTTAACTCCTGTGCCTGATAGCCATAAGCTTAGTGATCAAGATGTTACAGACTTTGTACAATGCATTATTCAACCTGTCCTCTTGGCTATGTTTAGCAAAACCGGTAGTTTAGAAGCAGCCCAGGCTCTGCAGAACCTTGCACTCATGAGACCTGAGTTAGTAATACCCCCGGTACTTGAAAGGTAAGTGTAGCTTTACATTACATGCTTGTTGAAGCCTCAGCACTGGCTATAGTAATTCTGATTATCTCTTCCCTCTCCTCTTCTGTTCTGTTTGCTTTGCTTTTCTGTGGGGTCTGTATCGCTATCATGTGCTTATATCTGTACCTGGAGGAGAAGCAAGACATTTTAACCTAATGATTTATGATTTCATAAAGGTTTATTTGAGAGAAAATGCAATTGACAAGACATAGATAAAATAAGCATTTTCTATTATGTGCACATTTTAGTTATTCAGGTGCTTTTAAATTGAACTCTGGCTATTTTTTTTTTTTTTTTATCAGAATGCGAGTGTCACAGTATATTGAAAATATGGCAGTAAAAGTGGTTTTGGATTTCTGTTATTAGAACCAGTGACACAGAAAAAAATTGTATTTTCTTTATTGTTTTCATATATTGTATAATCTTAGGTGTGTTGTTTCCACAGGGTAGATCTTACTGCATTCATTTTGTTTTTTGTGTTAAACTAATAACAAAATAGTTCTCCATTAGCTGAATCTGTCACAGTTCAGGCCTGATGTGCTTCCCAAGACAGAGCTACTCTTGAGTCGTTTTGAGAGTGGTTACTTTAGCCTTCTGTTATTCCTCTGCTGCCTGAACTTGAGCTTTATGATTTCTCTCTAAATACCTTTGTCAAACATGGAAGAAGATCAGTTTTTAGATCCCAGCAAGATCTAACAGATTGAGTTCCATAAAACTCAGATTTAGCCTAAGTTCTTAGTGGAAGAGCAGAGCAGTTTGTTATTTCTGAATTCTAATAAACATTGACTATTAGATTAGATACAATTTTACTAGACTGTGGAAGTGGATTAAGATGGTTGAAATAATGCAGAATCTACCAGTTTATGTTCCTTTTCACTGGAATTTGCATGGAGAAAGGTGGAAAGATGGCAGTAGATTGGGGAAACATATACCTTTATTTGTGTGATTCAGTTAACATTTGAGAGCATATATTCCCTCAAAATATTTTGCTACCTACAAACTTGTAAGCCAAAAGGCAGTTTATGAATATATTATACTTAATGTATCATGTATGGTTATCTGTGATGGAAATTTTTTTAAATTCTGTTTTCAAACTGTAGAACTTACCCTGCACTAGAGACTTTAACAGAACCTCACCAGCTCACGGCCACTTTAAGCTGTGTAATTGGAGTAGCCCGCAGTTTGGTGTCAGGGGGCAGATGGTTTCCTGAAGGTCCAACACATATGCTACCTCTGTTGATGAGAGCGCTGCCTGGTGTGGATCCAAACGACTTTAGTAAATGCATGGTGAGCATATTTGTAATTCTGTTTGTATTTAAGTTATAGCTGTATAAGTGGACAACCTGTTAATTTTTTTCAAATACTCTTAGGACATGGTTCAATTTAAAATTTGTTAATGATAACAGAATTATATCTATAGATGCCCAAGTTTAGGTCTGTGGACAGTTATTTGATATGTATAATGTTTTCCTTCATAAGTAACTTGCTGTAACCTATATTCATTTACTGATCATTTAATGTTTTAAAGCTTATATATTTATTATTTTCCTTAAGCAGAGACATTAAAACACATGTGATCATTTGCACTTACCTTCATCTACACTGGTGACAAGGGGACAGGATACACATCACTAAGTGTAACCTGCAGGTCCTGGCTGCTCATACCTGTCTTGACATCACTCCTCTTCCCTGGTCTTTAGCTTCTGCACCAGCATTTACTATTTACTCTTAGTTATGGTTACATTTTAGGAGGGAGGCAAGGTGACTTCTCAGTGACAGAAGGTTGGAGAACTTTATGCTTAAACCTAAATAAATAGCTATTTGAAAATAAATGTAGTATAATTTCTTTTTTTTTTTATTATTTTTTTTTATTAAAATATATTTTATTGATTTTTTACAGAGAGGAAGGAAGAGAGATAGAGTTAGAAACATCGATGAGAGAGAATCATCGATCAGCTGCCTCTTGCACACCCCCTACTGGGGATATGCCCGCAACCAAGGTACATGCCCTTGACCGGAATCGAACCCGGGACCCTTCAGTCCCCAAGCCGACGCTCTATCCATTGAGCCAAACCGGTCCTGCTAAATGTAGTATAATTTCATTACTAAAGTAACAGCTAGTTCATTTTGAGGAACCTTTAAAAGTTCAATTCTAAGTAAAATATTTCCAAAAAGATTGTAGGATTCCCTGAAGATAATCTATTTGGGTAGATTACAATATGCTTGTGTTTTGAACTATAATTATGCAAGTAATGTTAAATTTGTTGCATTTTCCCAGATTACATTCCAGTTTATAGCAACATTTTCCACTCTGGTGCCTTTAGTAGACTGTTCATCTGTACTCCAGGAGAGAGATGACCTCACAGAGGTAAGGATGCTTCCTGGTTGCAAAGGAATTGAGTTCTAACTCTTAATGTATATGCATAGCAATATTTGCTAGTTTAAAAGCAACTTTGGGCCTGGCTGGTGTGGCTCAGTGGTTGAACATTGACCTATGAACCAGGAGATCATAAGTCTGTTTCCCTTCTCTCTGAAATCAATAAAAATTTATATATTTTTAAAAACAACTTTGGATAGGTGCTAACAAATTAAAAAATACTGTCTTGTGACTTCAATGATATAAATAGAGGGCCTTGACATCATTGCTGTTTTGACACCCAGGGGTATATTTCCATTTCTTTCTTCCTTTTTAAAAAAAATATGTTTTTATTGATTTCAGAGAGCAAGGAAGAGGGAGAGAGAGAAACATCCATGATGAGAGAGAATCATGGATCGCCTGCCTCCTGCAAGTCCCCCACTGGGGACCAAGCCCACAGCCTGGGCATGTGCCCTTGACTGGAATCGAACCTGGTACCTTTCAGTTTGTAGGCCAACGCTCTTATCCACTGAGCCGAACCGACTGGGGCATATTTCCATTTCTTTGTTACTTTTTAAATGCTTTGTTAAGTAAAGAGTGGTTTTTGTTTTTCCATTTTCTTATCCTATATAATAAAATGCTAATATGCGAATCTACCAAATGAAGGAAAGACCAGTCACTATGATGTGCACTGACTACCAGGGGGCAGATGCTCAATGCAGGAGCTGCCCCCTGGTGGTCAGTGCGCTTCTACAGGGGGAGCATTGCTCAGCCAGAAGCTACGTTCACTGCTGGTGGGTGCAGCAGCATGGTGGGAGCCTCTCCCGCCTCTGAGCAGCGCTAGGCAGGTATCCCCTAGAGAAGGTGCAAGCTGGGCTGAAGGACCTAACCCTCTCCCCCCACTGCCAAGTGCACGAATACGGTGCACTGGGCCTTAATGTTACTAATAAATCAGTTGAGATTAACATCTAATGAAATTTTCTTTATTACTGTCTGGTTCTGTTATTTGTTTACTTTTACAATATTTTTATTGATTTCACAGAGAGTGAGAAAGACAGATATCAATGATGAGAGAGAGTCATTGATTAGTTGCCTCCTACACACCCCCTACTGGGGATTGATTGAGCCTGCAACCCAGGCATGTGCTCTGACTAGGAATATATAGTGATAGTTTGAAAAATGTAATTGATAATAAAAATGGCTGTTTGACTTCTAGGTTGGTCCTTATAAAATATGTTAATTCTTATTTTGGTTCCTGGAAAGTAGTAGATTGAGTTATTCTAAATTGACATGTGATAATTGTGCTGTATTTCACAGTATATAATATAAGAATTTAGTGTTATATTTATTTCGTAGACCATATTTGAGCTTTGTTCGTTCAAATGAGAAAAATAAAAAGCTACTTTTAATTGTTCTCCACATAAATGTTGTAGGTGGAACGAGAACTGTGTTCAGCCACAGCTGAATTTGAGGACTTTGTCTTACAGTTTATGGACAGGTGAGCATGTACCCCAGACCTACCCTTTATCTGAATTCAAAACTATGATTGTTCTGTCCCAGCAATTTTAGTGTCTTTCTATATTGCAACCACTATTTCATGACTACCCAAGGTGGTGCTTTTGAAGTTAAAAAAGTTATATTTGTGAGTCATGTGCAAGTTATGTAGTTGTCACTTGAATAGTCATAATAATAGAGGTTTATTTGATCATCAAAAAAAAATTGTTAAACCAGTTTTTGGTTACTAAGATTATACTTTTCTTTTCTATGTTTGCATTATGTAGATGCTTTGGACTTATTGAAAGTAGCACATTGGAGCAAACAAGAGAAGAGACAGAAACTGAGAAAATGACTCACTTGGAGAGTTTAGTCGAATTAGGTCTGTCATCTACATTTAGTACAATCCTCACACAGTGTTCCAAAGAAATATTTATGGTAAGAAAAATTAAATTCCAATGTTGTAATCTTATTTGATGTTTTAAAAATTGAACCTCAAGTGTCCTAGCCAGTTCGGCTCAGTTGATAGAGCATTGGCCTGTGGACCAAGGGATCTCAGATTCCATTCTGGGCGAGGGCACATACCTTGGTTGTAGGCTCCTCCCAGCCCGCACCCTGGTTGGGGCACATGTAGGAGGCAACCACATTTCTCTCACATTGATGTTTCTCTCTGTCTTTTCCTCTCCCACTCTCTCTAAAACATCAAAAAATATTCTCAGGTGAGGATTAAACATCCTCTCCTCTCCAAAAATAAAAATAAAAAAATTGAACCTTAAGTTACTTTAAGTGTATAAATTAATGCCAGTTTATCCTTTCTGTGCTAAAATTTGAAAAAGCTAATAACAGTTATGCTCATTATTTGCATACTCCATATTAGCACATTTACCTACTGGCTAGAATTTATTTGTAACCCTTAAGTCAACACTTGCAGTGGCAAAAATTTGAATTGCACATGTTTCCAGCTGCGGTCGAATAAGGTAACACCCTACCTTTTTGCTTCAGCTCTCAAACTGTGAACATGTTCTTTTTATGTCTCTCTAGTTCCAGGGTTTCACATTTTTGTGATCTTGTTGCTTAAAATGGCCCCTAAGAGTAGTGCTGAAGCACTGTCTAGTATTCTAAGCATAAGAGAGTTGTCATAGATGTAACAGAGAAAATAGTATGTTTTATTATTTTTTTAAAAAAATATTTTTATTGATTTCAGAGAGGAAGGGAGAGGGAAAGAGAGAAAAACATCGATGACGAGAGAGAATCACCAATCGGCTGCCTCCTGCACACCCCACAGTGGGATCAAGCCTGAAACCTGGGCACATGCCCCCAACTAATCAAATCTGGGACCTTTCAGTCCACAAGCTGACACTCTATTCACTGAGCCAAACCAGCTAGAGTGAAAATAGCATGTTTTAGATGAGCTTTGTTCAGGCATGAGTTATGTTGCTAATTTTAGTTCCATGTTATCAATCAAGAGTATATATTAAATAAGGTGTCTTTAAACAAACACAGTAACACAAAATTCAGTTGATGAAAATGTGTACACAGAGCCTTGTAGGAAAATGATCCTGTTTGTCCCTTAGGCACAATGATGTTACTAGCTAGCAAATTAGTATTTGATAATTCCGTGTTCACAGCAACTGTATAGAATATAACTACTACAAATAACAAGAATTAACTGTATTTTTAAAGATTACAATTAAATACTATATAGGAGAATAGTTTTGGAAATGGTTTGTGTCATAACATGATAGAAATATATATATATGGCTGAGTGACTAGCCAACTGACCAATAGCTATGATGTGCATTGACTATCAGGGGGCAGATGCTCAACATGGGAGCTGCCGAGCGACAGCAACTTTGCAGAGTGCCCTTTCGCACTCTGGTACCCCATGGGGGATGTCGGACTGCCGGTTTTGGCCCAATCCTCGCAGGCCAGGCCAAGGGACTCCACCTTTCGGAGGGTCCCCACTCACTCCGAAGACATCCTTTGAGCCCTGGCACCGTCCCAGGTGTGCCAGCCAGGGAGGGACTGAGGGAGTTTGGCTCCAGGGCATGTCTGGCCCATCTCGCCCAGTTCCATCCCACCAGCCACCTTCTAATGAATTTCCTTTTAATGTGCACGAATCCATGCACCAGGCCTCCAGTTAAATATAAAAATCTGGCAAACTAGGATGAATTCAATATCGGTTAGTACTTGTTATGTACAGCATGGTCTTTAAAACCACACTTTTTTTTCATTTCTGTTTCTTCTCCATCTGAAATTACCACTGTTCAATTAGTTTATCCTGGTTAAAAACTAAACTGTTTTACAGCTGCATGAAATATTGACTAAGATTATATGAGTATAACATATTAAACATAAATAATCTCTTATTTAATCGAAGTCTTTTGAAGGGAGTTGTTTATAATATTGAATACTATTAATCCATGTGGAGAGCTCAGTTTTTCATTCAGCAATTGAAATCCTGTGACTTGATTGTAAAATTAAATAGATATAGTTGTCAGAATGATAAAATGTAAGTATTAGATATTCTAAAAATTTGTGTTACATTGGACTAGCCAACAAGATAGTTGTATTTGCTTCCAAGAATTGTAATTTTGTGTTTAGTGTTTCTGTGGCAAATAAAATCTTGTGCTTCAGTTGTTTTGTTCATGTTAGGGTCTTGTGTAACAGTGGCTTGTAGATTTGAATGTAACATTAGTAAGCAAATCTTTATAAATTCTGATGGCTAAAAATTTCATATTTGGTTATATTTAATATAGTCTGAGCATTTAAAAATGTTTTATGTTTAATTTTGCTTAAAATTCTGATTATTCATTTTCCGTTTTTATTTATCTTATAGGTGGCCCTTCAGAAGGTTTTTAATTTTTCGATTTCACATATATTTGAAACAAGAGTGGCAGGTCGTATGGTGGCAGACATGTGCCGTGCTGCTGTAAAGGTAAGTTTGGTTTTTTTTGGACTGATCAATTAATGAATCAGTAACCAATAGATTTATGTGACTAATTTTTTTAAATATGTTTCTTATACTTAAAATGCACGGTACTTTTAGTGGCTGCTTATATTTGCCACTGAATATAGTGCTAGTGTACACTTTGTACCTTAAGTATTTGTACCTTTCAAAAAACTTACTTATATGTATATGTTTTCAGTGCTGCCCAGAGGAATCTTTGAAGCTATTTGTTCCCCACTGCTGCAGTGTTATAACTCAGCTTACAATGAGTAAGTCATATAGTTACCACTCTGTATTTACGATTTTAAATGAAATTTTATTCTGTTTCTAGTATTGTGTTGATAAAAACAGATCCTTTAAGCTATGCAATATCTTAATTTTGTAGTTTGGGGGAAAATTGCTCAAAATAAGGTTTCACTATATTGAAAGGTAGATTTGAAATTTTACTTTATTAAATTAATATTTTCATACAAGAACCATTTAAAAGTCGTAGCAAAAATACCAGTTATTTGTGACGAGAGGCCTGGTGCATGAAAATTAATGCACTGAGGGGGGGCATCCCTCAGCACGCCTGCTGCCCCAGCGGGGCTGAGGAGACTGGCTGAGGGGACTGGGCGTCACCATCTTTGAGGGCATGGCAGTCAATTAGCATATTCACTCTTTATTAGATAGGATATGTGCATGGTCAGACATTTGGCTGCTGTGTTTATTTTCTGAATTGTGTGTTTCCACCTCCTCTAGAGCAAGAAGGAATTGAAAAAGTCTTCCTAAAAGAGACTTTTTTAGCTATCAGAAATATTAAATGTAAATACATAAAAAATGATTCATTTAGTTGGATACATAGATTTTTTTTTTCTCCACTCTGTACTACTTTGCCTTTTTTAGATGATGATGTATTAAATGAGGAAGAGCTAGACAAGGAGTTACTATGGAATCTTCAACTTTTGTCTGAGGTATTGTAAATCTTTGGAATAAAAAATATAATTGTGAAAATGTTGACTTGCTCTTAGTATTTATTCTTTTTTGAAAGTTTGATATTAAACCATGAAAGGTCATAAGTTTTAAGTATTCTTTTGATTTAGTGGCAGAAAGTCAGATAATGTCACTTTCTAATATCAGCAATATAATTATTGATTACCTTATGTTCAGTATTATTGACTTTTTACTGATTAAGTCTAATATAGGTAACTCATTAATTGAAAAGGTTATTGGATTTGGGAATTTTTTTTTCTCTATGTTCTAAACTTGACCATTAATCAGACTTGAGCATTTTTTATGTGTTAGTTCAAGAACCAAAGAACAGAAATCCCATTATCTCTTAAAGGAGAGGGACTCTTTTGGAAAGGATGTTACTATGCCATGGCACTTGAGAACCTGGACTTAGAAAATGAGTTTGACCTTTAAAAAGAGTAGATTGTTAGAATATAATGAATAAGGCCTAAAATGAATTACTTTAAGAAAAACACTGTTAATGCTTTTAAGATTTCTTTCATGGTCAAATATTAACCTTTGTGTTAATTTTTAAAAAAATATATTTTATTGATTTTTGTACAGCGAGGAAGGGAAAGAGATAGAGAGTTAGAAACATCAATGAGAGAGAGTCATCGATCAGCTGCCTCTTGCACACCCCCTACTGGGGATATGCCCGCAACCAAGGTACATGCCCTTGACCAGAATCGAACCCGAGGCCCTTCAGTCCCCAAGCCGATGCTCTATCCATTGAGCCAAACCGGTCCCGGCTTTGTGTTAATTATTGATTCTTAAGTCTTTTACTCCAAATATCTTTGGGCTAAAAAAATATTTCTCTTTTTAGATTACTCGAGTGGATGGGAAGAAGTTGCTTCTTTATAGGGAACAACTTGTAAAGATTCTCCAAAGAACTCTACATTTAACCTGTAAGCAGGGTTACACTCTGTCCTGCAACCTTTTGCATCACCTTCTTCGTTCTACCACACTCATCTACCCTACAGAATACTGCAGTGTGCCCGGTGGCTTTGACAGGCATCTTTCTGAATACTTTCCTATCAAGGCAAGCGTTTTTAATAATTTAGGATTCAAGGATATATTCTGTTATTTTCCTAAGGAATTCAAAGTGTGGTTATTGTTTTTCTTGTGTATGAAGGGGCCACTTATTTATTTTAAAAGTAGATTATATTAAAACTTACTGGGTTGTTTATTTTGAAGATCTAATTGGTTTTTTAAGTGATTTGTGAATGAGGCAGCATTCCATCTGGCAACTAGAATGGTGCTCCCTAGAGCGTTTTAAATGTGCGCAGCCTAGTATATAGTGCTAGAGCTCCTCTAGTTTCCTTTTTTCCTGTTTTGTGTGAGATGACTTATGTCACATCTAACCTCTATAATTTCATATAATTTTATTGGGTAACTCAGTAGACTCACATAAATTTACTGTTACTCTTATAAGTAAACTAATATTTGAGGGGCTCTTTAGGAAGACCTTTTCAGGAGTTATAATGAAGCGATAATATGTTGCCATGCCATTTTTGTGTGCATTATTCATAATCTTAGGTTTGGAACACATACATATTCTAACATTTTCAATTATGTATATACTAGAGGCCCAGTGCACGAAATTAATGCACGGTGGTGGTGGGGGGTGTCCCTCGAGGGATGTCTGACTGCCTGTTTAGTTGGCAGTTGGACATCCCTTCCACAATCTAAGACTGCTGGCTCCCAACTGTTCACCTGCCTGCCTTCCTGATTGCCCTAACCGCTTCTGCCTGCCAGCCTGATAATCCCCTAACCACTCTCCTGCCGGCCTGTTTGCCCCCAACTTCCCTCCTCTGCCAGCCTGGTCACCCTTAACTGCCCTCCCCTGCAGGGTTGATCGCCTCCAACTTCCCCTCCTTGCAGGCCTGGTCCCTCCCAACTGCCCTCCTTTGTAGGCCTGGTCCCTCCCAACTGCCCTCCCCTGCTGGCCATCCAGTGGTGGCCATCTTGTGTCCACATGGGGCAGCCATCTTTGACCACATGGGAACAACTATTGTGTGTTGGAGTGATGGTCAATCTTCATATTCCTCTTTTATAAGATAGGATAGAGGCCTGGTGCATGGGCTGGAGCCAGCTGGTTTGCCCTGAAGGGTGTCCCAGATCAGGGTAGGGCTTCCTGTGGGGCAGCCGGGGCAAGGGGCCTGTGGTGGTTTGCAGTCCAGCCACACCTCCTGGCAACCCAAGCTGAGGCTCTGGTATCTGGGGTTTATTTACCTTCTACAATTGAAACTTTGTAGCCTGGGGTTGAGGCTAGACCGGCAAGGGCAGGCGGAAAGCTTGGCTTCTTCCATTGCCAGGGAAACGCAAGCCCCCCTCCTGCTCTCTGTGGCTGTAGCCATCTTGTTTGGGTTTATTTGCATATTTACTCTGATTGGCTGGTGGGCGTGGCTTGTGGGTGTAGTGGAGTGCGGGTTAATTTGCATATTCTTTTATTAGGTAGGATGTTCTTTTTTCAACTTCTCAACTGGCTGAACATATGCTGTTCTTTTCTAGGACTGGGGTAAACCAGGGGACCTTTGGAATCTGGGAATCCAGTGGCATGTTCCTTCTTCCGATGAAGTGGCGTTTGCCTTCTTTCTGTTGGACTCTTTTCTTCAGCCTGAACTCATCAAACTCCAGCAGTGTGGGGATGGAGAACTCGAAATGTCTAGGTTAGTTTGTTTTGTTTTGTTTTCAATAATTGGTGTTAGTTTTTATGGTTTCAGACTAAAAAACATCTTTTTGTGTGCCTTTCCTTCTCTCTGTGGATGTCTGCTGTATTTATTTTCAGTGAGTTTTGACCATCCACATGAGTGTAATTGGAAACCTTTTAATATAGCGTTGTGTAACAGGTAATTTGTCATAACATTTAAAAATAAATGGGTTTTGTCCTCGCTTGTTTTAGTGCTTTTTATTTAGCTGTTTCACGTGTGTATCTTTGAGAAGTGTGTAGGTATGTCCCCTTTGAAAGTAATGCCTGCTTTTCTAGGTTCAACTTAGATTTATTGGTTTGTTTCTTCTTGGTAATTCATTATTGCTGTTCATATTACTTAAGAAAAATATCTCTGTGAGGTAATTTTTTTACCCTTTCCCATGGGCTTTAAAAATAAAATTATTTGAAATCATTAGACTTTTGTAGTTTGGATGTTTGACAGTTCCTAAAATAATAGTAGGAAAATTACTGTGTGTCAAATGTCAGGAAACTTTAATAGCAAATTCAGTGTAAATGGGATTGGAGGAAGAAGTATGATTGACTTCATGTAAGTCCATTGCATAAAACTCCTTTTGAAGTAAACGGTTAGCTGGTCCATTTTTAGATGAGATGTGCTGGAAGATTTCATGTAATACTGTTTTCTTGTGGTAGTGATCTTTAGATAAGTAGGTGATTAAATTCAGAATTGTTTCACAAAGCACAATCAGTCTTTCTTACCTGTGATTATTTAGAACCTGCTTACTATAAGCAAATCTCTTATTTCCAGTAAATAACTGTTTAATTACCTTAAACTATTAAGTGGGTAAACTGTGGTGGTTGCCATTTTTTTTACCTTAATTTTCTATATCCCCACTTGATGAAGTTTTTGTACTTCTCCCTAGATTCTTGGCTTTTCATTAAATAGGGATTTGGAGTCTTATAAAATATGAAAATACCTTTTATTTTTTCTAGAGATGATGTTCTACAGAGTCTGACTATAGTGCACAACTGTTTAATTGGCTCAGGAAACCTCCTACCTCCATTGAAAGGAGAGCCAGTTGCTAACTTGTAAGTAAAAATAACTATTTTATATATATTTTGCTATTTTTCCACTTGGTATATATTTTAAGTTTTAGTTACATAATAATTTCCTGGTTTTATAATTATTGGTGGCGTTTGTTTCACTTTAACCTTTTTGCCATTGATAGGCCAAAAAATACCTGAGGCACAACTTAGGTCTGTAAACTTTAAGGCTTATTCAGATATTCATATGGTGCCAGGATAACTTTGAATGTTCATGAGTTTTAAATATTAATTTAGATATTTAAGTTTATCTATTAGATTACTAAGTTAATTAAGAAATACTCTGCTTTAAAAAGGAAAAAAAAATACTTTTTTTTTTGTCTGCTGTCAACATTGATTAAAGATTTTGTAGCAAAAAACGGGTGTTTTTTTAAATAAATATTTGTCCAGTGTTATTCATTTTGATTTTGAACTTTTTAGATCTATCAAGTTGCTTTTCTTAAATGTAAGTGCTTTTCAGAGCATTATTGTTTTGAAAGAGTGTCTTGATTTAGCCTATTGTTAGTGCTACCATTTAAGTTGAAAAATTGAATTTAGTGGACATCAGCAAATATGTAACTTGAGCTCATGTAATAAGTAGATAGCTACTATTTTCTGTCAACATCAACATCTCATTGCTGAACAACTTAATGAAAATCATATAAAAATGAATAAGTAATCCTTGCCTGCTCAAAAAACACAAAGAAGAGAATTATTTGTGGATTTTACAACAAAAATTTTAAAAAGCTTCAAGGAATTGTTTAAAATATGACTTGCTTGTCTTCCTATATTTTGTATAATTGTTTGAAATCATGCTTTTTCATAATTCCCATTTATTTCCATCTAAAAGCTGTTTTTCGACATTGAATTTTAGCTTGCTCATTAGATTTAAAAGGGAGAAGTGGGGCCATTTCAAGTAAGGGAATCTGTTTTCAGTTTACCTATGCATTTGCTGAACTCTTTTACAGAACCTTTGTTTTTTTATTAGCTTTATAGTTTGATAGCAGAGCAGTATTACCAAATTCATCTTTATTATAAGAGATTGATTTTTAAATTATTTTTTAAATTCTCACCTGAGGAAATGTTTATTGCTGTGAGAAAGGGAAAAACATAAATGGTTGCCTCCCAAAAATGTCTCCACAGGGTTTGAACCCACAACCTAGTGACGGTCCCTGACTGGGAATGGACCCCCGGCAGCCCTTTTGGTGCTTGGGAATACCTTTTGCTCCAACTGACTGAGCCCGCCACCTGGCGGGGCACAAGAGATTGATTTTAAACAATAATTTTAAATGAGACCTAAAATTAAAATCAATGGTTTTTATTTTCCTGAAGATTTTAACAGTGTATAATACAGTAAAAAATTTAATGCCGTATTTTCCGGCGTATAAGACGACTTTTGAAACGAAAAAAAGTCAACCAAAAATAGGGGGCAAAAGACCAAAATTGCACAAAAATTACCTGCAGATCTTGATGGCAAAGTAAGTCTTTTCTTTGAAGTGGGGGGTAGTCTTATACAGCGAATATAGGCCTAAACCTATGTTTTAACTGTAAAATTAGGGGGTCATCTTACACGCCGGAAAATACTTATTACATTAATAAATTCAGCTGTGCTTAAACTTGTTGACAATGAGAAGTATCCTCATTTAATACAAAAATGTATCTAAGAGCAAAAGCATGTATAATCTGTGTATATGATAGGATTTTTAGTAGAGTGATCATTTAGATGTACTTCTTGAAGGGTCAGCTAAGAAGGCCTGGAGGTTTTTCAGTATGGAAGTTCCTATCATCATGTAGCCGTATTATGCCATGTGCACTATAATAGGGAATTGACACAAATAATTTACCTTTTTTTGTGTATATATGCATATATATTTTTATTGATTTCAGAAAGGGAGTGGGGAGAGAGATAGAAACATCAATGATGAGAGAGAATCATTGATCGGTTGCCTCCTACATGCCTTCCAACTGGGGGATTGAGCCTGCAATCTGGGCATGTGCCCTGACCAGGAATTGAATCATGACCTCCTGGTTCATAGGCTGATGCTAACCACTGAGAACCGGCTGGGCAAGAATTTATCTTTTGAAATAAATGTGCACCCGGACAATATTGCCATATATTTTGCTATTATACACCAATTAGGATTATATATAATGAAATGCATTTTCAATAAGGAAAAGAATACCATGTTATAAAAATGTTACAAATGCCATGGACTATAACTAAATAATTTGTTAGCGTGCATTACTATACACTGTCAACTATAAAATTGGTCCTGAGTATCCTTTATAAATTTTTCCCAGAAAAGCTGAAGAAGAAAGATTATTTAAATGGGGATGTGTTGTTTTTGACTTTTCACTTTTAGTGTGAAATTTTAATATAATGAAGTAATAAAAGTTATTTAATATAAACATACAATTATTAGATTTTTAAATATATTTAAAGGTATACATATAAGATGTTTTCTTATATGCAGAGGTGGGCAAAAGTGAGTTACAATTTTTTGTATGAAAAATACAATAATAATAATAAGAAAGCTGTTTCCCATAGTAACAACTATAAAACTACTTTTGCCCACCCCCTGTATATTTAGTAATATATAACTAAAATATGAAATGATGAAAAGTCAATCATTTTAGACATTGAATAAAACACATTTTTAGGATTCTTTATAGTTATGTGCATCTATGCAGGGTAATGATTAAATGAAGTTGAATTAAAAATGAACGAACAGCCCTTAGCTAGCCGATGAATTGCCAAAACACGGAGTTTGTGTAGTCTTCCCTGGGCCTTTAACTCATTCTTAACAGAATCCTCCCCTTTAAAATCAGTTTCTTAACTGGTATCATCTTTATCTGAAATATTCATTTGTTTTGGTAGCATTTGTTTTCTTTATATAACATTTTGGCTTTTTTTGGCTGATAGTAAATTGGTTCTCACCAAAGTATCATTAAAGAAAGTTAGCTTTTTAAATTTCTGAAGTGCTTTTTTAATAAGTCATTTGTTAAAAGTCTTATAAATATACAGTGATTTGAAAACACTAAGTAATTTCAGTGGATGGTGCCATTGTTCTGTGATACTGAATCACCCTGCCTGGTGTGAAGAAAGAATATCTGTAGCACAACTTTCAATTTATCAACAGCACATCAATTTTAAACTAGTACATAAAAACAACAATAGGAAAGTAGTCTCTATGGGAAATAGAGTAAAATGTGTCAGGTCATGGAGAAAAGGAAAGCATCAGTTGACAGATGCTTTAGGTAATGCGTAAGGTGCTAACATATTACCGATGTTAATAACACAATTTTGCCTTTGAATTATGGGACAGTGTGCATTTTTCAAAATACCCAAGCAGTTTTTGGAAACACATAGCAACTCAGTTTTTTAAAAATTTCAACTTATGCTTTTCTTATATAAATCTCAATTATTTAAAATATTCTAGCTGCTTGATTGATTGATTGGTCAAACCACTCATTAAGTTTGCCTTGCACATGTATTAGTAGTATTTGTCTTCTGGAAAATTGAAAAGTAATGAAAAACTTAGTTCTGAGTTTTTCTGTAAGAAAAATCTAACCTAGTTTCTAATGGGGTATATGGGATGATCTTAAAATCCTATTGTTCAGGGGAATGGCTAATAAATATATGAACTATGCTAAGTGATTAGAGACTGACAAAAAATAAATTACTTAGATAAGTTGATTATCTTAATAAGTATAAAATAAATGATATACCTAATGTATCTGCATTGCAATTTTTGGCCTTTAGCAGTGTAGGGGGTCACTAAATATCTTGTATATATTATACATTTTACTGTTTCAAATGATGGGTAAATTACGGTTCCTTGAGGGTAATTAAAGGATACATTTTTTTTAGTTTAGTACAATTTTAATTTTTAGCAGTTTTGTTACTCTAAGTCTGCTGAATTACTCTTACATTGGAACCTCTTTATTTCGCCCTTGGAACCTTTAGTTGATGATTTAATAGAAATATTTGTGATATAGTTTATAGTTACCTTTATAGATGTGGAAGTTGGAGTGTGTCTTTGCAGGGTCACAGGAATTTTGGACACTTGCCTTTAATCCTCAAATCATCATTAATTTCTCCTTTTGCAGTCCACTCATAATCTTTTAGGTCTAACCAGCTATCACAGAAAGTAAAAACTAATAACATCTATAAAAGCAGGGTTACTCAAGGTAGAAGAGTCATCATTTTTCATCTCCAATATTTCTTCTTTACTTTGTTCCCCCTTTTCTCTGGTAGATCTGTAAGTCATTCTTAGTTAGATCATTCTTAAGATCTCAGCTTTTACTAACTTTTCACTCAAGAAAAATTCATACTTAAGGTCTAAGAGTTGAGACCATTTCATTAATATGTGAAAGGATGTGTTGTTATGCGATGAGGGGCAGGGCTAGCTAACCTCTCTTGGCACCTCCAGGGAACTACCCAGCTCTGCTGGGGGAGCCGCACACAGAAAAGGAAACAGTTACTACTCCACGGTGAGTAATCCTGTTTTCTCCTTATTTCACCTTCTGACTGTTTTCTTTGATTTTTTAAAAGCTTGTGTGTCAGACATGAAAATAGTTCCTATGCTCAGCATAAATTTTCAACTTAGCACTCTGTAAGATTTCTCTTTCTTTACTTAGCAACCTGTTTTGCACATGGTAGAGGAAGAGCTAGCTTTTCATTTGTGTCAATTGCTATTATTGATGCCTAGGATTGAATTGCATAACAGAACACAGAAATAGGCCAATTGTCTCTTGTGAAACAATTCATAATCTTGGCTGGAATAAATATCTAGTGGCTTGGTTTTATACCTTTAGGATTGTTTTCATTTGGGAGGGGAGTGATTATTAGAAATCATAGCTTGCTTGTTCTTTCACTTATAGACAGGAAGAGTTATTACTGTTTGCGGTTGTGTTACGACAGTTAATCTAGATTTCATTTGCATATTTGATTTGTATATTTTGTTTTTATGTTATTAGTCACTGCTTCCCTCTTCACCATCTTTTTCCTCCAGTGATTGCTTTCAGTTCTACTCTGATCAAATCTAAAGAAGATTGCCATCTAGTGGTACAAATCATATAGTTGTGGAAACTTACAGGTCCTGTCCCTTCCCACCCTCACCCAGTGGCACACATATTGAATCTTGCTATAAATTAGATGTCCTGGTGGTATTTAGTTGATTTAACTTTATTATTTATAGATTGTATTATTTATAATATGTTGTGTTGAAATTACGTATCAGAATTTTATTTAGTTCCTGTGTCAAAATACTTACTCCTTGTAAAATGAAAAAGTGAATGTGAGTAGAATGAATTTCACTTGGGATGGGAAAGTAATGGGGTTTGATTTAAATTATATATATTGCTACTATAGCTTTTAATCAGAATGCATATCTATAAGTTGACATATTTTAAATCTATTCAGCTGAGATTATGTCCATAACTAAAAGTTACAAGAGCAGTTTTAAGTAACAGAGTATGGCTGCACATGACTTATAAAGTGGCCACAAGAGATAAATAGATCATGACTAGAGATTTCTTTTAGAAAATAATTCTTTTAAAGATCAGAAAAATTAAATTGGTATAAATACATTTTTACACTTGTGGAGAAAAACATTTACTGTAAAACATGTCAACGCAAATGGAGTTGAATAAACTTATTAGATAATAAGAAGAGATCAGTTAAAGCTGAATCTTAGATAAATAAGCCTAAGAGGAATTAGTGATGGATAAGAATAAACACAACCAAAATATATGTCTAACCAGATGCCTTCTCTACATTTGAGTTCTGTAGTTGTATTTTAATTTAGATTTTAAAAATAAAAGCCTAAGTAATTTTTATTTAAATGTGTTACTTAATACTATACTTTAAAATCCCATACAGGCTGATATTTTAAAGTAATTATAAAAATTGATCATCTTCAAAATTTTTAATAGGGAAACTATTTAGTGACACATGGGTTTTAAAAATTGGTATCAGGGCTTGTAGTTGAGACTTGTTTTTAAAAGTGATTACAGTGTAATTGATTACTAGGATCATAAATGCATACCAAAAAAATTTCAAATTACCAATTAGTAGGTTTTGTTTTTTTTTTAATTTGTTTGATAGGTTCTCTTCCCTCCCTTTGGATATAGTATAAATTGTTCTGAGGTTTGCTGTAGAGATTGTTTTTTTAAGTTAACTTGTAAGACTGATTTTGTGATAATTAAAATGTATGCTTGGTTCAATATTATTTGGTACTTGGTATGGACCGGGTAAGGTACAATTGTATTCCTACTTTAGTAAACTACTTATATCGATATTTATAGCAGCAGTGAGGAGAAGTCCTCTCAAGCGACAGCTCATGACAAACATCTCCCCATCCTCTGCCAGGGGAGGTCAAGCCAGGGTGGTATCAGTCTTAATGCTTTTTGCTTGTTACAGCTTAAGCACGGCCTTTTTCCTTTGCTGGTGAAATCTTATTTCAGTAGACATGGACTCCCCCCCTTTAAAAAAAAATATTTTATTGATTTTTTACAGAGCAATAGGGAGAGGAATAGAGAGTTAGAAACATCGATGAGAGAGAAACATCGATCAGTTGCCTCCTGCACACTCTCTACTGGGGATGTGCCCGCAACCAAGGTACATGCCCTTGACTGGAATCGAACCTGGGACCCTTCAATCCACAGGCTGACACTCTATCCACTGAGCCAAACCAGTTAGGGCTGAATTCCCCTTTACATTTATTGTAAAGGGAATATGATTTTATTTTTATTGACTAAATTCTGGGTACATACCTATTTTTCAGTCATATAGAATGCTCAAGTTTCCAACTTTATACAATGAAAACCAGATTTAAAATATATATATTTCAGAATTCAGAGAGGAAGGGAGAGGCAGAGAGAAATAGAAACATCAATGATGAGAAAGAATTATTGATTGGCTGCCTCCTGCACATCCCCTATTGGGAATTGAGCCTGCAACCCTGGGCATGTGCCCTTGACTGGAATTAATTGAACCCGGGGCTCTTCAATCTGTAGGCTGATACTCTATATCTACTGAACCAAACCAGCTAGGGCTGAAAACCAAATTTTAAGAATTAGAATTTGAACTTGAAAATCTCTTGAAAAGCAAGTTAGCATTTTATATTATAACCCATTACCATTCTTTGTTTATACTCTAGGCTTAGTTTTGAATCTTGTGATGATTCTGTTTTCATCCAAGGCACTAGATGATGGGGAGGGATATGCTTATAATTGGCATTTTAGTAATCTTGATGTTATTATTATTTAGATAAATCCCAGAATTTAAAATTATGAAATATTACTGTAAAGATAACTTAATTCAACTTATAAAAATATACTAGAGATGCAGTGTGTTGATTTTTAAAGTGTTTTCTTTATTACAAGGCTGTATAATTCATGAGTGATGATTAATAACTGTAAAATTTATGTTTGTTATTACTTAGCCCTGGATTAGATATACTTATCCCCTGTTTTCTTGGCACTTATGCCTGTGTTTCTCCTCTTAGAAAGTAATATCTCTTTGTTTGTAAAAAGTTATTGAATTCAGTCTCATATTTTGATATGAAATGTTGAAAATTAAAGTATTTTTAATGTAGAAAATTTAATTTCAGTTATAAAAGTTTATATTTTCCAATACCTGTTATAGCATACCTAAAAAGTGACTTTTCATTTAATAGATCATCTCAGTTTGTTCCAGTAACATGTTTCTTTGTGATGGATCTTTAACTAGGAAATGAAGTGTGTGTTTTGTTTTTGTTTTTGTTTTTTACCTCTGAACGTCTTATGAAGTAGTGGCATTTTTCTACAGATGGTAGGAGAAATCAGTTTGGCTGGTTTTAAGAGGAAGGGTAATGATTGTCTAAAGAAGTTTGTCTGCTATATAGTCTACAATAAAATTTGATTGTGGGTTTTTGGTGACTACTTTTAACCCTTACTATGCTATTACAAATCTGACTTTCCTTTGTATAAATGTATAAATGTTTATCATCAGACTTCAGCTTTTACACTTGACTATAGACTATCAATACAACACTCATTTGGGCAGTGAATTCCTCCCTTAAAGTCATTTAATGTAAATAACATTTTCTTTTAAGATGAATACTATTGTCCTTACTGATGAAACAGATAGCATCAATCCTCAGAAGGATAGAATAAAGAAGTATGGAAGATGGGAAATCTATGTTTGTTAAAAGAGCATCATCATCTTTGTTTTGATTTAAACATTCTAGCAATGACATTTTTCCCTTTAACTCTTCTTATTGGTATTATTAATAAATATAAGCACTCTTGTTTTTATACAGGGTACCAAGCATGGTGTCCTTGGAAGAGACAAAGTTATATACTGGACTTGAATATGGTATGTGAATCCTAATCTGAGTAAATCTGCATAGTCTATTTTTTGTCAATTTTTCTACAAGGGTTAAAATGGCATAATTTTGTAGTTGTAATTTTCCTAGGCTCCTTTTTTATATAAAAATGAATATTAATTACACAATAGTTATATTTGCTTTTTCTGGAGAAACTAGAAAATTATTATATAAGGATAAGCTAGTACAAGATAGAAATTTGGGTTGATAAATATTTGGATATTTTCTATTAGCAGAAGCAGACTTTCATATACTCTAATATTCGCTTATATTTAGAATTGTTTTAGAACTAATATACTTGATATGAACCAGAATATTATAACCTTTATATATTCTATCTGTATTTTTCTACCATAGTTAAATTTTATATAAACACATATGCAAAGCATTTTATTTTGTTCACTTAGTGTTCTGAATCTAACATTGGTAGAAATTTATTTTTTTCTTATTACTGGGTTAATGCTGGAGTTAGTTGTATACATTAATTGCTAGCGTAATTTTAGCTTGCTTGATTTGGGTTACTCATAACTAATTAGAGAATCCTATACATTTATGGTGCCTAGTTAGTGAATAGGGTCTTTGAAATATTGGCAAAGATGGGTTTTTTCCCTCCCTCTTCCTTGCCTATCTAAACAAGTTTTATAAGCAGGTCATTGTAAAAGTGAAGGTTATTCTATATCATGCCTAGTCAATAATCCAACTATTATAAAGGTCAACTCACTTGTTTATTTTCTCCTGGATACATTATCTCTTCTTTAAACAAACTGTTGATATAAACTTCAACAGTATGGGAGCATTTCAGTGTCTCTAAAATACCTTCTCATTTTTCTAAAACAGATCTATCCAGAGAGAACCACCGAGAAGCAATCGCTAGGGTCATAAGGAAACTTCTCAGTAAGTACATACATGCATTTTTTTTTTTTACTAATAAATATTTAGGAATTTAATTCTGTAGCATATGTGCTTTTATTTAACATTTTTCATTCTCACTGGTGAGAATATCAGGTGGTATTTTTTTTCCTTTAATAGACTTTTAACTAATGTATTAGAAGTACTGTAGTAATTCAAAATATTTTCACCAAAATCTGATTTCTTCTCCTTTTATAGACCATATACTTAATAATTCAGAAGATGATACCAAGTCCCTGTTTCTTATCATAAAGGTACAATTGTCATTTAATAGTTTCATAATTATTAATATGACAGGGTTTGATGCAATGACTTAGAAATATAAAATTTGAAATTCTTTGACACAGATTATTGGAGACCTTTTGCAATTCCAAGGATCTCACAAGCATGAATTTGATTCCCGTTGGAAAAGCTTTAACCTAGTAAAGAAATCAATGGAAAATCGGGTCAGTATTTTCCCCTATAGTTCTGAAATAATATTTTTAAAGATGTGTAATATTGATATAATCACTTGATTTAGTGATTATTAGGTATAGAGAGAAAGTTACATAAAAACAGTAATTTTCAAATATGATATCATGATATAATCAAAAGGATCCTAGGGAAAAAATGTATTTTTCTGAGACAAGTTCTTCAGTTTATTTCCACAGTCTCTGAACTCTCGGTGGGAATTTGGAGCATGGTAACTTGGCAATTGCATTAAAACTGCCTTGTAAAATAATGAAGTACTGAGTAAAAGATAGGAATTGTCCAAAAGCACTTTATATAGATCAGAGAAAAATATATCTCATGTACTTATGCTTCAGGAAAAGTCAGTATGGGGCTGGGGGGAAGTCAGTACAAGTTTCTCTCAGAGCATGGAAGAAAGAATACTTGTTAGCCATTTGCTCTTCTTGGCAGTTTTCTTTATAGGAAATTTTCATTTAAATTAAGTCTTAAAAGGTTATGTTAGTTTCTTATTTAGGCAAGAAGTGCTAGACAGAAGGAATCCTATATAATAAAGAGCTAATATGCAAGTGGTTGTCATGCCGTAATAGCTCAGGCACAAATGAGCTCACGAGAGAGGAATGGGGACCAGCCCAAGAAAGGGACAAGCTGCCCGCCCTGTTGTCCCAGGCGCCTACGGCTGCAGCCAGCCTGGGAAAAGCTGGTCCAGGTCCTGGGTGCCTGCGACCACTGGTGGAGGGAAACCTGGGACCTGGGTGTGGGGCGAGGCAGAGGCAGTTAGGGGCAATCAGGCCAGCAGAGGAGCAGTTAGGGGCAATCAGGCAGACAGGCAGGCAGGCAGAGGTGGTTAGGGGCGATCAGGCAGGCAGGCGCAAGCGGTTAGGAGCCAGTGGCCCTGGATTAGGAGAGGCAGTTGGACATCCCCTGAGGAGTCCTGCATTGGAGAGGGTGCAGGCCGCGCTGAGAGACTCCCTCCCCATGCATGAATTTCATGCACCAGACCTCTAGTGGAATATAAAAGGGCAGAGAGATGTTACAAGCATGGCTTGCTTTAGGAAACTGGCTGTTGGGAAGAGTCTAGGTGCTATACCAGGTCATTTATAATTTTTGCCTCAGAAAGTGCTTCAGTTTTATATTCAGGAGTGTCATTAAAGATTTTTTAACTAGATTTGGCTTGATTAGAGCAGTATTTAATTTAATGAATTTTGAAAAGCTATGTTACCACTTTGAAAAATAAGCAGTAGGGGATTGAGACTAGAAATAGGGAGGGTGGTTAAAGTGTTTTAATAGCCCAGATAGAGAAATAGCCTGAATTTGGTCACTGGCATGAAGATGGAGATAAAGTGTTTTGAAAAAGAAGAAATTTGATGGCCATTGTGACTGGGTAGAAGATTGGGGGTGAGGAATAGCTTAAATGATAATTTTCAGAAAAATAAAAGCTACTATATTCTGTAGTAAACTTATAAATGTGTCGGAGTCCAGAAGTTTTCTTTATAGGCTGTTTGTGTACTTTGACGGAATAAGAACCAGCTCCATTGCTTTCCCATGCATGGGTCTATTCATAAATTACCAGCCTGCTGTGACTTTTTTGAACTAATTTTTCATTAAGGGTTTCAGAACAATCTACCGTTGTCGTCATTTAGAGAAAAGGTTGAAGTGTTTTCTACTTTTTCTTTCAGCTCCATGGGAAAAAACAACATATCCGAGCACTGTTGATTGACAGAGTAATGTTGCAGCATGAGGTAAATATCTTTTTAAAATCAAGATGACTTTTTTAAATGACAGTTTTGCAGATGAATATTTAATCACTTGTGTTACTTCATAATTAAATGAGCTTTTAGTACAAACTTTTGAGATTTTATTTACATTGATTCCTTTTTGTAGCTACGAACACTAACTGTTGAAGGTTGTGAGTACAAAAAGGTACATCAAGATATGATCAGGGATCTTCTTCGTTTATCCACAAGTTCGTACAGTCAGGTAAGGCCTCGTCTAAACACCACTCTCCCATTTTATTACATGCAATCTAAATATTCCTATTGTAACAAGGGAGTTTAAATTTATTGGCCTCTATAGAACATCTTTCAAATTGTAAATATATTCGTTCTAATTTAGCTAGTCTCTTTTTTTTTTCTTTTTTTCTTTTTTTTAATATATTTTATTGATTTCTTTACAGAGAGGAAGGGAGAGAGATAGAGAGCTAGAAACGTCGATGAGAGAGAAACATCGACCAGCTGCCTCTTGCACACCCCCTACTGGGGATGTGCCTGCAACCAACGTACATGCCCCTGACCGGAATCGAACCTGGAACCTTTCAGTCCGTAGACTGACGCTCTACCACTGAGCCAAATCGGTTTTGGCTAATTTAGCTAGTCTCTTAAAAATAATTATTTTTGGTATGTAATTGCTTCTCCAATTAAAAAAATTTAATTGAAGTTGATGGATAGTGCTAGTGTAATATTGCTGCCATTTAATTAAATCACATCATAAAGGCCATGTAATCCCTCCTAGGTGTTATGTTTGGATTTTAGGAAGCTGCTACCTTGTGAATTATGGGGTCTATCCTTTAAGGTAGTATGGGACCAAGAGATTATCTCTAATCACAGAAAACTGAAAAAAGTAGAGAGATTCATCTACAGCTAATTATTCTATATTTATAAAATAATATAAATTGGGAAACTAGTCTCTAACCCAGATATTTCACCTAAACTTACCTTGAAAAGGACTTAAAATATGTACTGTGTGTTGTTTTTATATTTACACTGAAAATTTTGCTTACGTTATAAAATATGTAGTGATAACATTTGTATTGAAAAAGTTAACTTTTGTGTTTGAGAGAAAATCAGACTTTTCATTAAGAGTAACTTGGAATAAGAAGTTTAATATTCTGCTGATTATTTTACTGATCAAATGCATACTGGTTCCATTCAGTCTCTCCTTTAAAAAAAAATACTTGTACTGATGTAACCTAAATCACAGATATGGTTGGTGGTCATGCTTTCCTTTTGATAAAAAGATAATTACTTGTTAAGGCATTGCTTTGATGTATTTTTCTATTATAGTATTTAAATTTTTACTTTATGATAATTCATTTAGAAATTTTTATAGTTTGTCTAACATTGAATAAAAGTCCTCTGTTAATAATACTCTCTCTAGGTCAGAAATAAGGCTCAGCAAACATTTTTTGCTGCCTTGGGAGCGTATAACTTCTGCTGCAGAGATATTATTCCCTTGGTTTTGGAGTTCTTACGACCTGACAGTGAAGATGTCACACAACAGCAGTTCAAGGTACAGTTATTTTTTTGTTTTGTTTTTATATAAGAATTCTCAAACACAGAAAAGTTGAAATAATTCTTTAGTGACTATCTGTATGTCCTCCATTCAGGTACTGTCTTTACCATTTTAAAGCTTTCTTTACTTTATCTCATATCTATTTCTTCAGCCATCTTTTTTTTTTAATGTATTTCAAAGTAAGTTAAAGACATCAGGGTACTCCACGGGTATAGTTTATTTTTTTTCTCCCCAATTATTTACTTAAATTATTTATCAAAAACGTTTAGGGTAATGTGACCAGCATGAAGGGGGGGCCTAACATAGTAAGTTTGAGCAACTGAGTGAAAGCTTGTGTGATGAACACAGAGAAGGAAGGAATTGATGCAAGATAAGAAAAATACTACCTCTCATAGGGATGCAATATAGAGTGTAGGTGATATATAATGATCATTTATACCATCAGTTAGAGAGCTGGGCTGATTGAAAGTGATTTATGAAGGAAGGAGAATTGATAAGACGTGGTAGTTGAATGTGGGGGGACTGAAAAAAGGAAGTATCTAAATTATTAAGGTTCTGCATTGTACACCTGGTTGTTGGGTACATCAGAGAGCGAAGACTATATTATAAATTAACTAGAAGCCCAGTCCATGAAAATTCATGCACTGGAGGGGATATCCCTTAACTCCACCTGCCTCCTCTCAAAGTCCAGGAGCCCTCAGGAGTGGGAGGCGACCCAGAGATCAGGGGAAGGTGACATCCCATCACCTTGAGGTGCAGTGCAAGCCCCAGCTGGCCCTGGTTACCTAAGCCTTGGGCAGCCCTGGGCAGCTGGGGGGCTGAGGGGACTGGAGACTCAAAAAGCAGGCATGTGGTGCTGCCTGTCCCACCTAAGGGCGGGCCCAGTCTTGCTGCATGCCTGCCACCCCAGCGGGAATGAGGGGACTGGATGCCGCCATCTTGTGGCTGTGGGCGCAGCCATCTTGGAGGGCATGGCAGTCAATTAGCATATCCCCTCCTTATTGACTGTGGGAGCCACCATCTTTGTGAAGAGAGGAAGGGAGAGAGATAGAGAGCTAGAAACGTCGATGAGAGAGAAACATCGACCAGCTGCCTTGTTTGGACAAGTTTAATTTGAAGTAATTTCAATAAACTAAGAGGCAAGGCAGTTAGACATCTGAGTTTGGATTTAAAAATACTGTTTCAGTGTATATTGATGATAATTGAAATCTTTAGGCCTGGATATAAGAGCCTAGGAGGAGAGTGAGGCAGGACCAGAGAGCAGATGTTGAGAAAACCTCATTAGAATCTTAAAAAGAAGAGGTAACTGAGAAGGGAAAGGTAATAAATACATAAGAAAATAAGGAGAAAGCATAGATGATAAAGAGACTTCTTTCTAGAAGGAAGACTCAACCAGTGCTGTCAGTTGCTTTCTGGAAAGAGTTAAGAGGAGAACTAAACAAGTTCAATAAACTTAGCCTGTAAGGACAGGTCCACAAACTATAGCTTGGTCTCAGTCACTTGCTTTTATAAGTAAAGTTTTATTAGAATACAGCCATGTCCATTCCTTTATGTATTTATTGTCTCTAGTTACTTTATGCTATAGTGACAGATGAGTAGTTTTGAGAGTGACTGTATGGCCAATTATTTACTACATGATCCTTAATGGAAAAAATGTGCTGCGCACCTTTCCCCTCCTCATCCATCCCCCAGTGTAAAAGGTGTAACTCACTGGGAGGTATGTTATTGATTTTACTGAAAGCACTTTAAATGTATAAAATCAGATAGGTTAAGTAATATCAAAATTGAAAAATATCTATTAAATCAGTATAGGTGAGCTTAAAAAGTTACCTTAAGAGAACTTGTAAAGAAGAGTACAGCATCAGGTGGGTAAGATCTGATCTTAGTTTAGTTAGGATGAATGTTAAGGAAATGTTTTGGTACTAGTTGTTCTTTTCATTGAAAAGGGATACCTATTGAACTTTTATGACAGTAAAATACAAAGCATAATTAAGTTACCTAGTTTTTATATACTTAGGCAAGTACATGGGAAAGATATGTTAACTACTTTAGAAACCATCCTACCCATTATGTCCTAAAATGCAAAGAGTGGTGTATGTGTGTGTGTGTGTACTTATTTATTTCATGATTTTTACTGTATAGTTGTAGTACAAGAGACTTGGGATGGAAACTTTGTCTTAAAAACAAAATCCTTTCACTTTTATATTATCCTAATAGCCATTTTTTGAGTTAGCACCCTATTAAATGACTTAGAGAAAATATTACTGAATGACACTTAAACATCAAATTCAAATTTCTAAGAGTAACATGCCAAACAAATTTGTGAACCTATTGTGCTAAACAGAATCAAGAATTTAATCAGTGTTTAGTAAATTTAAAACTATTGTCTAGGTGAGTGGCTTCTTAGTTTCATATTAATTTTTTCCTACAGGGTGCCTTGTATTGTCTCCTTGGAAATCACAGTGGCGTATGCTTGGCAAACCTTCATGATTGGGACTGTATTGTACAGACTTGGCCAGCAATTGTTTCTTCTGGTCTTAGCAAAGCCATGTCCCTGGAAAAACCATCAATAGTGAGACTGTTTGATGACCTTGCAGAAAAGATTCATCGTCAGTATGAAACAATTGGCTTGGACTTCACAGTAAGCATAGCCATTTTGTAATTCAGATTTTAGTGGAAATAACTACCCTGTTAAAATGCTTTTCTATTTTTCTTATTTTTTTTCTGTAATCATCTTGATAATTAATTTTTAAAAGCATTTGTTTTGTTTTCTTTGTGGTCTTTACTGTAGATAGCAGAGTGGAATGGGAGGTTGGAGCATGGCCAGGAGTGAGCTAGACTGCTCTCTTCCAAGGGGCCACAAAGGGTTCTTGCATTGTTGTAATTACCATTATGCCCTGTACACACTGTGGCCTCATTTTTCAAAGAAGCGATATTTTACAGTGCTATTCATACTGGCCACTGGGTTCATAATTTATAGTGAAGAAAATAGAAATGAAATGATTTGACAAATGAAAATGTAGAGAATATAGGTTCCTGGATGCTCAAATGGAGAGATGTAGCAGTAGATATCTACAAATCATCAAATGCATATTAGGCACCCATTAGAATCAGGATGGCCAAAAGAGATGTGAGCACAGTTGAATGCTCCTCTTTTCTACAGTGGTTATATTGGCGTAAAAATCACTGCTCTGAATGTATTCCTTTTTTATGACACACTTATGCTATTTATAGCTGTCGTTAGATTAAACTGCTAAAAAAAATTTTTTTTAATTGCAATGTAATTCACATTCCAAACATTCACTCAACAATAGTGTATTCACAGGGTTGTACAGCTATCACTACTCTAATTCCAGAACCTTTTCCTCAGTCAAAAAGAAACTGCAACAGTTACTTCCCAGTTCCCCCATACCTGTGGCCTCTGAAAACCACTTGTCTACTTTCTTTCTCTGTGAACTTACCTGTAATGGACATTTCATATAAATGGAACCATGCAATATGTGGCCTTTTATATCTGGCTGCTTTTTTTTTTTTTTTTTAAATATATTTTAATGATTTTACACAGAGAGGAATTGAGAGAGACAGAGAGTTAGAAACGTCAATGAGAGAGAAACGCCGACCAGCTGCCTCTTGCACAACCCCCACTGGGGATGTGCCCACAACCAAGGTACATGCCCTTGACCAGAATTGAACCCAGAACCTTTCAGTCCACAGGCCAACACTCTATCCACTGAGCTAAACCGGTCCCAGCTATATCTGACTTCTTTCACTTAACATAATATTGTCAAAATTCATCCATGTTGTAGTATGTGTCAGTACTTCACTTTTCCCCCATGGCTTTTCTTTTTAATAAGATTCCCAAGTCATGTGTTGAAATAGCAGAATTGCTTCAACAATCAAAACACCCCTCTACCAACCAGATGATGCCTGGCTTAGAAGAAATAAAAGAAGGACTTAGACGCCAACAAGTGAAGAATGCTGATGCCCTAAGGTAATTAAACGTGCCTACTTGTCAAAGAAGATTACATTTTAGATAGTTTTAGATATCTGAAATGTAGGTGAACCATAACTAAGTAATAAACTTTACACATTGATTCTGTAAGAAATAAAGAAATGTTAGGAAATAATCATTGTGAAGATCACGGATTTACACTTTTAGCTATGGAGTTGGGAAACACCATCTTAAAATAAACTTAATCATACTATCATATCTTTTCTCAGTGTGATTTCTCTTTGATTTTTAAGTACAAATATCAATTATTAAAAACTAACTCAAATTAAAACACATTTATCTCTCATGGCACTTATATATAATTGCTTTTTGATCAGATTTATACAAATTTGGTATCAGGATATCAGTAACCTGTTTCTAGTTTTTTGAATCCAAAGCACTTCAGTGCTTCAGTGATAAAACTCAAGCAGGGGCCTTCCTATCTTGATTTGTTTCTTTGCCTAATGAATATACCTATTAATTTTTTCCAATATCTATATAAAAATATAAACTTATATAGTTGTCTCCCTTATGTATACACTTGGAGTGCCACATGGGCAGACACTCCCAACTAATGATCACTACTCACAAATTGACTTTAAAAAAAAAAATATATATATATATATATATATATATATATATATATATATATATATATATATATATTTTATTGATTTTGTACAGATAGGAAGGGAGAGAGATAGAGAGTCAGAAACATCAATGAGAGAGAGTCATTAATCAGCTGCCTCTTGCACACCCCCTACTGGGGATATGCCCACAACCAAGGTACATGCCCTTGACCGGAATCGAACCCGGGACCCTTCAGTCCCCAAGCCAACGCTCTTATCCATTGAGCCAAACCGGCTTCGGCGGTCACAAATTGACTTTTGAATGTCCACTCAGGAACAGTTGAGTTGCTCTGTACCTAGCATAATACTTTTTTTGGTTTTCTTTGTACCCTTCAAGTTCTTTTCCCAGTGTATCTGTTTATTCATTTGCTTTTACCTTGGTTTGCTTCTCACCAGTGAGAGGTTGAATCTAGCCAGAATTTGAGTTTATATTATTACTTTGTCTATGTTCATCTTAGTACTTTGTTAAAACAATACCTCACTTGAACTTTTTTTTTTTTTTTTTTTTTAAGGAACTATGAAAATTTGGTAAACACTTTGCTAGATGGTGTGGAGCAGAGAAATCTGTAAGTATATAAAATTTTTAATTCTCAAAAGTTGAGAATTAAATTTTAATTTTAAATACTACAGGAGTTTTCTGTCCTTGAAGCCATGAAAGACTGTATCACAAAAGTATTGTGGTCTGATTCATGAATTTACAAGACTAAGAGAGGAAGTTTGGGACTAATGATAGGAGGGATGTTCTTCAGTATACCTATTTTAATTTGGGATACTTAAAAATGTTTCAAATTCAGTTGTGTTTTTTTGTTTTGTTTTTGTTAAGCGGTTTTATGAGAAATATGTTTTGTTATTTTGTTTTCTCCCTCCCCTTTTTAGGCCCTGGAAATTTGAACATATAGGCATTGGGCTTCTGTCTCTACTCTTGAGAGATGACCGAGTGTTACCTCTTCGTGCCATACGTTTTTTTATTGAGAATCTCAACCATGATGCAATTGTAGTTCGAAAGGTAGATATCTTATTTTAGTTATAATCTTGGGTTTGATCATTTTTACCTCACATGAAGCCTTTAAATTCTTCACAAACAAGACACACTTAATAAATATCTTGGAGTGCATTGATTTGAAGTCTACCTCTTTGGGTTGAGAGATGATAACTTGGCTAATAAATACACGAGGACATGTTTGGACACTACCTTTCAGCACTGGAGAGATAGCAGGTTACAAGTTTACAGGTTAATGGGAAAGATTGACTTTGAGAAGTTAATTCTATGAAGTGGTACAGAAAGCGAAAGATGTCTGAGGATACAACTTTTTTGTTTTACTTGCAAAGTATTCGAGATGGGGTACAAGGTGGGACTGACCTTTGCTGGTACATTGGAGAAAGATCCTTAAGAAATGTTTTGGCTGAGATTTGAAGAATGGGCATGTACTGGTGTAATGAAGAAAAGATCATCTCTGGGGAGGGAGGGGATGTAAGGGAGGGAGGAAGGGGGGTAAAAAAAAAATCAATAAAATATGTAAAAAAAAAAAAAGAAAAAAAGAAAAGATCAGAGTTTTCTAGACAGAGACAAGCATGAAGGATGAAGGTCCAAGAGTAAGAACTGTGAGTGACTCCTTCCAGGTCAGATTTAGCACTCACATGTGCCACCGGGTATCACTGGGTGAGGTATTTCTAGATTCTTGAAAGAAAATCCAGCTTCTGCTTTGATTAAGCAGGCAACCATTTAAGAGATCTAAAAAGTTGACACATCCACCTTGTTTGGTTTTCAGATGGCAATCTCAGCTGTTGCTGGTATTCTTAAGCAGCTAAAAAGGACCCATAAAAAGCTGACCATCAACCCCTATGAAATCAGTAAGTATTACCAAATGTAATTAATAGTGCTTCTCAGCAGACTTGGAAGTTTTTTTTTTTTCAAAGTATTTAGTTCTTGATCTCAAATATTTTTATATACAAACTATACAAGTATAAAATCATTTTAGTACAAAGTTTAAAATCTATACTTACAATAGGGTAATATGCAAATTGGTCTGGACGCCATCACATAACTACAGTCAGCAGGAGGGTGGGGCAGCGAGCTACAAGCAGGGGAGAGCTACAGGAGGGCGGGGCAGCGAGGTAGGAGTGGTGGAGAGCTATAAGTGGCTGTGGATGGTGCAGCCAGCTGAGGCAAGTGGCAGCAAGCTACTCAAGCATGGATTCGTGCTCAGGGTCAGTAGTATTATAAAGGAAAACAGTTAGCTTAGTAAAGACTAGATATACGTGGTCAGCCTTGCCTTGTGCCAATTGTAAGAGAGTTCTGTTATGAAGGCAGAGTCACACTAATCCTATTGATTAAAAGTTGAGAATAATTATGGCACACATATTTTTAAGTTCATCAAATGTAATTTGTCTTTTCCTCAGGCGGATACCCTAAATCCACCCAAATTCTTGCTGGTGATAGGCCTGATAATCATTGGTTGCATTATGATAGCAAAAGTATACCAAAAACTAAAAAAGAATGGGAGTCAAGTTGCTTTGTGGAAAAAACTCACTGGGGATACTACACCTGGCCACAGTAAGTACAACTCCCTATGCACTTTATTATTGAACTGATTATCTTTGATGCAATTTGTTTATCTTTGAACTTCTGGGGATGTTCAGAAGCACTTGAAGCAATTGGACTCAATCACCAAAAATACACAGTTAAGGTTTTCCCTTTTCCTCTTTTTCTTGACTACTGCCAATGCTAAGCCTTGATCCTGCCTCTTTTCTTGTTTTCCCACTGAAACCCTTAGGCTTTCTTAGTCCCACCAGTATATGTCTAGGTGTTTGTTAATAGCTGCTCTTAATTATATTCCTACCTATTAATACTAAACATGCCTAAACCAGCCCAGAGAAATGCTTGTTTATCTCTTATTGTTGACTCCAATAATTTATGTCATAAGGACACAGGGATCTGATAGATTTTTTTAAGGCCAGGGTTGTTAGTGATGTACTCCTATCCCCAAATGTGGCATCTAATTAGAGTTTATTAAAAGTACCTTTAATGCATACTATCCACGAAGCTCTGTTATATTTTCTTATGTATATTGCAATTTAAACTTTTACTGTCTAGGAATATGGTTGTTTATGCTGGTGTAGAAGAACAGCCCAAGCTTGGCAGGAGCAGGGAGGATTTGACAGAGGTAAGCATTCCATTTTCACCGTGAGAGCACTCACCCTGGTTCAAATGCAACTTACTTATAGCCAGATACATTTCAAATTCAGTTCATTTTTCTCCCCAATTTGTGTGTTTCAGTATAATACTGGGTTAAATAGAGTCTAACAGAATAGGGGAGAATAAGGGAGGTGGGTAGGGTGGAGTAAGGGAGTACACATTTACTGGTATTTAACCCAGTGCTATACTGAAACACACAAATTGGGGAGAAAAATGAAGTCTTTTTGTATCTAAGGTTACTCTCAAGTTACTACCCCACTTGGCACTTACTTGGGCACTACTGTGTATAGTTATTGGTTTGTTTTCTGTACTATTTCTGTCTAACAAGCTTCTTAAAGCAAGGATAATGACTGGCTTTGGTTTTTTATTGTATGTAAATGATAGTTACCCAGTACATAGATGTTAATAGATTTAACTTAGAACTCATTAGTCTTCACAAATCATTTGTCAGCTTGAGAGTTGACTTAAGGACTTTTAAGTTTATGTCTTCCTCAATTAAGTTATTAGTGTAGCAGATGCATTTTCTAATTCTGAACAAAATTTATCTTTCAACTTCTGATGCTATATAAATATGGAAGTAATTTGCTGGAGTTGGGTGTCCAGTTTGGGGACTTTTCCTAAATTTCACACAGGATGGTATAATAGCATTAAGCCTTCATTTCCTAAGCAGAAGATTTTTGGATTTTAATTTACAGTGTGAGAAATGGAATCCATACTTGAAGATGAAGGAAACTTAGCTACTTTTATGGATTTTGCATTTTTAGGAAGTGATATGGATTTTAGAAAGCCTTTATGAGAATTAAAATTTTTCTTTTTTAAAAAAATATATATTTTCATTTATTTCAGAGAGGAAGGGAGAGACTAAAACATCAATGATGAGAATCATTGATTGGCTGCCTCCTGCACGCCTCCTACTGGGGATTGTTGAGCCTGCAACCCAGGCATTTGCCCTTGACCAGAATCAAATGTGGGACCCTTCAGTCTGCAGGCTCAAAAATATCCATTGAATCAAACCAGCGAGGGCTAAAAATTCTTTAGAACAAAAGTAGTAGCTTACTGTTCGCTATCAGAACTTTTTAGATGAATTTTAATGTTTTCAGAATTGTTTTTAAATACATTTTAAACATTTGTTCTTTTCCTTAAACTTTACAGGCAGAACAGATCATCTTTGATCATTTTTCTGATCCTAAGTTTGTTGAACAATTAATTACTTTTCTATCTTTAGAAGACAGAAAAGGAAAGGATAAATTTAATCCTCGACGTTTTTGTCTCTTTAAGGTAACTGTTATTTATATGCCTTCTTCATAAAGCTTAGTGACTGTCAGTTTGTAGGTTTATACGTTTTAAAGTATTTGATCAAGATTTGAATTTAGTCATCTCTTATTTTCATTTAAAACACCTCTGGAAGGTTTGCCGATCATATTGATCCTAGCACTATATATTAAAAATTATTTTTCCCCCTTTTTCTTTGTAATCAGCAGTTGAAGTAAACAAAAAACCCACAAAACTAAGCTTCATTTGAGGTTCATGTTATTTTTTAAAGGGGGTGTGTGCTATTTTTAAGGGCAGAAAGATTATTAATTTCTGTTTAAATAAAACAGTACCTCTAAATTAAAATAAGAGTACTGTCATTTTACATGGCACAATAAAATACAAAGTTCTAGAAGGGAGAACTGGGTTTTAAGTACAGTAGTAACATAGTAAACAAATGGGGATGGTAGTTATTTAAGTACTGAGTAACTTTCTTATCTTTGTTTTTATAGGGTATATTCAGAAATTTTGATGATGCCTTTTTGCCAGTGCTGAAGCCCCACTTAGAACGTTTGGTTGCAGATTCACATGAAAGCACCCAGCGATGTGTTGCAGAAATTATAGCTGGTTTAATCAGAGGTTCTAAGCATTGGACATTTGAAAAGGTGATGTATTTGTACAGCACATTCCCTATTAAAGCTACATTTTCCATTTATGTAGTAAGTCTCAATACATTAGGTCCATTTCCATTCATAGTTGATTCATTCAACAAATATTTGCTGAGTTCCTAACAGAGGTGAAGAACTACTTCTATAACTGAGTACTTTGTATGAGTAAATATGCAATGAGGAGAACATGAATAAGTTGCTTCCAAATTGCTTGAGTATATTTTTATTATTATTTATTTTTTTTGTAATATATTTTTATTGGTTTCAGAGAGGGAAAGAGAGGCAGAAACATCAATGATAAGAGAGAATCATTGACCAGCTGCCTTCTGCATGCCCCCTACTGGGGATCAAGCCAAAAACCTGGCATGTGTTTAGTTTTTTTTAGATGCTCACCCAAGGATATTTTTCCATTGATTTTCAGAGCGAGGGAAAGACAGAGAAATATCAAAGTTTGATACTCTATAATGTTTAGGTTGTATTTATGTAATGTTTAGAATGACATTAATAAATAATCTGTTAAAACAAAAAAAAAATTTGAATTGTTTAATTCCATATTGCTTTTGATAATAAGTCACAACCCCTTGGTATATAGACAACATTCAATATCTTTTAAATTTTGAATTATTTGCCAACACCAGGGAAAAACCAGGATATGTCATATATTAATATTTCTGTTTCCCTTGAAAAAATACGAAGGTCCTGGAATGCTGTTTCCACACTATTGCATTGAATCTGTTGCTGGTGCTGCTCCTAGGCTTCTCCTTTATGGGGCACTCGCTAGTTCTCCATCTACACACACAACACATTTGGTCTTAGAGGCACCTTGAGTTTTGACAACCTTCTTTTGAGTATCCTGCTTTTTAATTGTAAAATTTAGTTCTATATATCTGTCCTAAGGTTAGTTTCTTAGCAAAATGCACTAGGCTGAAAATAACCAGGCAAAATGTCTGCAATGCCTGAATATAAGGTAGGCCACCATTTCCTCAGAGAAAACACACAAATATTGTTTTGGGCCAGCTTAATTACACATACTTTTAGGAGGCCTGTGAATGCTTCTTAATATGTTAATTTAGTTATATGTATTAACATCACTTATGAAATAAAACTTTGTTAATTTATATTATTGCCTTTTTCCTGTTCAAATATCATGAAACGATTTTATTTGTTTTATTTATTTTTAAAATATGCTATTGATTTTAGAGAGTAAGGGAGGGGGGGTAGAAACATTGATCCACTACCTCCTGCACACCTACTGGGGATCAAGCTGGGCATGTGCCCTGACTAGGAATCAGATTGGCGACCTCTCAGTGCATGGAGTCACACTCAGCCAATTGAGACCCTGGCCATGGCTCTTATTGTTACTTTTAATCAGTGCCTGGTGCTACCACTGGAAACTATCCCATCCCTCCCTCCCCATTCGTCCTTTTGACTCAAGTGCAGTCCATGGACATCACTTGGCAGCTTGTTAGGAAAGGAGGTTCTCAGGTCCGGCCCTGATCTAATGAGTCGGTCTGCATTTGATCCAAGATCCCAAGGTGATTTGTATTCTCATTAAATTGTGATAAGCATCTATATATATATTTGCAATCTCTGTATGACTCAACATTTCATAAAAGCTATTGATAGTAATTCAAAACTTGGCATTTGAAGATTATACTTCAGACTTAATAAGAAATTGTATTAAATGTCATATCTTCCTAAAGTAGGATTCAGTCAAATGACCTCAATAAGCATGAACTTTTTTTTAAGCGATTATAGTCCTTAGTCATAGAATTTTTAAAAAATTATTACTGATATTTTAGTGAGATAAGGGAGAGAAGCATCTCTGAGACATCATCAATTGGCTGCCTCTTGCACACCTACTTGTACACTGGGGATCAAGCCCACAACCTGTGTCCTGGCTAAGAATTGAACTGGCGATCTCTTGGTTCATGGGTCTACACTCATCCACTGAGCCACCGGCTGGGCAAGCAGACAAAATTTCTGAAATGATGGAGGTTTTCCCCCAGCCCAGTATGCTCTATTAGTCAAAAATGTAAAGAGAGAACTTCTCTTTAAGAGAAATTAAATGATTTTTTTTAAGGAATCATTCATATAAGGGGTCTTCTCTTTTCTAAATAATTTTTTTGGAAAAACAAAGTCACATTATAGCTGAGTGTGTGATGATAATATAGTGAAGTTACTTTTCTGGATTATTTAGGTGTTCTAAGAAGTGATTTTTTTTTTTTTTTTTTTTTTAAGAAATAACTTAAATGCGGTATCAGTTTGTGTGTTTATATGTTTCCTGGAAAAGAGCTGAAGACAGATGTTCTGAGTGTGTTCCGTGCATTTTGTTTTGAGCAGGTGGAGAAGCTTTGGGAGCTTCTGTGCCCTCTGCTTAGAACAGCGCTGTCCAACATCACAGTGGAAACTTACAACGACTGGGGAACTTGTATAGCAACGTCCTGTGTGAGTTCTGCTTGCTTCTGTGTCTAACTGATGTATTCAAACTTTTATACCTTGTCTCAGAATCTGTGGATTCTCATTATACTTCCTGAATCTTGAAATTTTGCTCATAGTTGTGTCATTTTAAGATAATTGGAAATGGTTCTGTTTAGTCTTTCAAATAAGCCTTGAGTGATAACCTTAAGAGATTATTATATCCTCTCAGCCATAGTAATACATTGTTTTAGAATAGATAACAAGTCCAATCATATGTAACTTTCATGTATTAAAAGCCAGATTATGCAAGGTTGTTGGTATTATTCTTAACACTAAATATGTCCATAACTTGTATACTCTGATTTAAAGAAAAGCCATTTAGCTAACAATTTTCTCACTGTTTATCTTTTTAACATGAGCTATGATAACATAATTTGGATTTGACTCACTTGGGACTTTTAATTCGATTTTTTTCCTCTATCCTTTTATTTATAAATAAGATATATATTTATATTTCCAAAGTAAAAGGATCTGACTCATTTACAGCATTGTAGGACTCCTGTATTAATCATCATTTTATATTTCAACACAGGAAAGCAGAGATCCCCGGAAACTTCATTGGCTTTTTGAGCTGCTGTTGGAATCACCATTGAGTGGTGAAGGTGGCTCCTTTGTAGATGCATGGTAAATAAAACTTACACAGCTAAGAAAAGATAGCATGTTTTGTGTTTGACGTATGAATGGAAATGAACTGCCTACACTTCATAACTAGAGTTAACCCTTGAACAACATTGGTTCAAACTGTGCTGGTCCACTTTTATGCAGATTTTTCTCTCCCCCCAGTAAGTATACAGTCAGTTCTCTACATCCCCAGCTTTCACATTCGAGGGTTCAGCCAACCTTGGATGGAAAATACTGTTAGGAATTTTCAGATGCAGAGGGCCGGCCGTATGCATTGTTCTATGCCATTTTATATAGCGGACTTGAACATCCTCAGATTTTGGCATCCACAGGAGGGTCCTGCAGCCAATCCCTCTACAGATACTGAGGGACAACTAAAATTTGGGGGAAGTCTACAGTTATATGGGGATTTTTGACTGCTCAGGAGTTGGCACCCCTGTTCTCCGTGTTGTTTAAGGGTCAACTGTAAATCTTGTGAGATACGTGAACCATTTCCGTACGACATGATACTAAATACAGTTATTTCTCAATAGGGACAAGTAAGAGAAATGGAAGCAACCTGAGCAATTTAAATAGAAGGTAGATTCAGCCTTTGTCACTGTCAAGTTTTTTATATCAGGACTGCCTTTTGTGCTATGACAGTAGTAGCTTCTTTCTCATAGTTTCTCATTGTTCATTCTTTCCCATGAGGAAAGAAGAGAATAATCTTTTAAGGGAAAATATACTTAGTGGTGTATAAGGAGCTGAGAACAAATTAGTGGATAACAGAGAAATATAGATAGTCCCATTAACAAAGGGAATGATTATTTTTCTTAATTAGTGGGGAAAATTCTGATGCTTAGAGATTAACTCAAATAGTATTCTGGCACTAGCCAATTTGGTTCAGGGGATAGAGCGTCGGCCTGCGGACTGAATGGTCCCAGGTTCGATTCCGGTCAAGGGCATGTACCTTGGTTGCGGGCACATCCCCAGTCAGGGGCATTCCAGAGGCAGCTGATCGATGTTTCTCTCTCATCGATGTTTCTAACTTTATATCCCTCTCCCTTCCTCTCTAAAAAAAAATCAACAAAATATATTTAAACAAGCAAAAGAAAAGATACTTTACAAAAAAAATAGTATTCTCAAATCTGTATTTCTTTTGATTATAGTAGTGGAGATAAGAGTATACAAAGAAAATGGTGCAGGGAATATAATAAAATCTTCATTAAGATGATGTTTAGAATTTGGAGAAATGCCTATTCAAGTCTTTTGCCCATTTTTGAATTAGGTTTTGTGGTTGTTGCTGAAAATGAGACGGTTTTCAGTGAAACACAGGCATCATTAATCTATACCATCAGTATGTAAAGACTCTAACACAACTCTCCTGTGTTTTTATTTTAGTCGCCTCTATGTACTGCAAGGTGGCCTTGCCCAGCAAGAGTGGAGAGTGCCTGAGCTGTTGCACAGACTGTTGAAGTACTTGGAACCCAAACTCACCCAGGTTTACAAAAACGTCAGGGAAAGAATAGGGAGGTAGGTATTATTTTCTCTGCGGTATGGTATACCTCTTGAGCTCTTCTTGGTGAATTTTAATTCCTAGGAATGCATACTGGTTATGTTACTATTGAGTTTCATAGTATGCTCTTCTTCAGATTTTGTTTTATGTGGTGGTGTACACACTAGACAAGCGGCTCTGAATGTAAAATAGGGCGGCAGTGGGCTCACCAAGTCAGAGATGAAAGCCGGCACGCTCCGTGTTTATTACCTCAGAGTTGCAGGCGCAGCACAGGAGACCTTCTCTAGGACTTGTCTTGGTTGGGTTTTAGCTTTTGAGCCCTAGTTTTATTGAGGATGTGGGATCTCTTCTTACGGTACCTTTTCATTTTATAGTGTGCTGACCTACATATTCATGATTGATGTTTCTTTGCCAAACACCGCGCCAACAGCATCCCCTCGCGTTCCTGAGTTTACTGCTCGCATTTTAGAGAAATTGAAACCCCTCATGGATGTGGATGAAGAGATTCAGAACCATGTCATGGAAGAAAATGGAATTGGTGAAGAAGATGAACGAACTCAGGGCATTAAACTCTTAAAAACTAGTAAGTGGCTAAATTAGTAGATACTTACTTAAAAAAAAAACAGACATTTATATTTTCTTAGGGCTTTTTTCACCCTTTTAATTGTGGTAAAGAAATCATTTAAGAAGTAATATAAACAATCTGTTCAGTAACATTGAAGCACTGTCAAAGTGTATGACACAGCACCACAATACTATTCTAGTTCGTGGTCCGATTATAGCGAAGACTGATTCTGGGCATTCATTTCCAAACAGTATTGAAATGGCTGATGGCGAGTGCAGGAAGATCTTTCTCTACAGCAGTCACAGAACAACTGCAGCTGTTACCTTTGTTTTTTAAGGTAAGTTAATGTCTGAAATGAGGACTACATCCCCTTTTGACCTTCAAAGGGAATTTGTTGATAGTTTTCAGACTGTGTATGATTTGGTTGTATCATCAAAAAATAGAGTATTGACAGGAAAATCATTAGGTGATAGTGGTTTTATATTGAAATAATCTTTTGAATATTAGAAAAGATGAAACATATTTCACTAATAGTCAGTTTCTAAGTAATAGTTTAAGAAAATAGCCGAAAGCGGTTTGGCTCAGTGGTAGAGCATCGGTCTGAGGACTGAAGGGTCCCAGGTTCGATTCTGGTCAAGGGCATGTACATCGGTTGCAGGCACATCGCCGGTAGGGGGTGTTCAAGAGGTGGCTGGTCGATGTCTCTCTCTTATCGACATTCCTAGCTCTCTATCTCTTTCCCTTTCTCTCTGTAAAAAATCAATAAAATATATTTTTATTTTAAAAAGAGAAAGAAAGAAAATACTGATAGCTAAAAAGAAAAGCCACAATGAAATTTTGAATATAGCTTTTTCTGAGTTTTTAATACTTAATACGAATCTGAAGATCAAAATGTTCAATATATTGTATTTATTTTACAGTGATAAATAACATTATAATTGGTTTTAACAAATATCTACAGGAAGATATTTGTATGGTGACTTTGAAATTTTATTTGATAAAAGGTATGACCTGAGGTGGTTTTAATTACTCATCTGGTCAGAGGTTGGAGGTGATAAAACTAAGATCAAAAAGAGGGCTCAGAAGGAGCCTGTCTGAGGTTTGGGTAAGGACAGTGAAGACTTGGTGAAGATTCCATTTGTTAGGGGCATGCAAAGAAATTTCATAATACAAGCTTTGAATCTCTCACCTAAGTTGGTATAATCCTTAGTGTGTTAGAGAAAAATAATTTATTTTTAGAAATTAAAACTACTTTAGTGCTTGCTTCGGCAGCACATATACTAAAATTGGAATGATACAGAGAAGATTAGCATGGCCCCTGCGCAAGGATGACACGTAAAACTATAAAAAGAAACAAGAAAATACATTTAGAGTATTTGAAAAGATACTTATTTAAGGGTTGGGGGAGACAAAAAAAAAGAAGCTAAAGTGAATGTACCTTGTTTTGTTAATTTGTCTTTAGGACCCTATAAGCACTTTTAAAATTAAATGGAAGGAAAGTACCTTAAAATAGGCAAAATGAAATAAGTGACCCTTACCTTACTGAGTATCTGGTTGGTAGGATAAGAACACAGAGCAGTGGATTTTTAAGAACACAGAAATTCATACATGCCTTGTGGATAATATCTTTATTAATAATATTGGAATGAAGCTATTATGTGTAAGGTATAATAACGAGCAAATGCAGTAATAATTGTCTGTAGGAACCAAGATTTTTAGCATGAGAGACAAGGGGTATATAAAAATCCAAGCTGTTTAGTAAAATCCTGTAATCCTAAATTTGGAACTATCATTTTAATCTCATGATCCATTTCTATTTAGAAAATATTCTTATACCCTAACAATGTCCACCAAAAAGGCCCAGAACCACTAATCAGCCTAATAGCATCAATACTCCAGTGTCCAGATTATACTTTCTCAGTGTCACTTCCCATTGGAAGAGCCAGAGCTGCTTGAAGAAATGGCTGTTTTAGGTTTAGTCCAAGAAATGTACAGGATACCCCAGGTCATCTTGTCATCCAGAAACCCAGGATGCTACAGTTGTGTTAAAAGATGCAGGAGCCACTTTGAGCACCAGGAAGAAGGGCAACTACAATGGCTCAAAGCCATTAAATTTGTTGAGATTCAGTGCTTCATATGATACTTTAAAAAATTATTGCTCACTTTTAGAGGACAAGAGGGAATTCATTCTGAGGGGAAGAAAGCTGGTTGCCTGTGTACTAATTGGCTGTTATTTTCCAATTTTTGCCTTTGGTTTGTTTTACTCTCTAGATTGCCCCAGTGGAAAATGACAATAGCTACGACGAACTGAAAAGAGATGCAAAGTTATGTTTATCACTAATGTCTCAGGGGTTGCTTTACCCTCATCAAGTGCCTTTGGTACTTCAGGTGCTAAAACAAGTAAGAGTGAATACCAAATATATATAGATAAATCTTTTTGTTGGGATTGTGGCTTATTCTAAGAATTTCAGTAAGTCAGCTGCAGTGCACACAGTACCTAATACTTGTTTTCATTTTAATTTTTCTTTTAATATGAGTGAGTTCATGTACTGACCCAAGAACCAGACCTAGATTATGTACCTGGCTCTGTCACCAGCTTCTATGACCTTGGGAAGATCACTCAACCCCAAATATTCTGTATACATAGAGAGTTAATTATTGAAGCACCTTGAATACAAAGTGCTTAATGAGGGAAAGAGGTGGTCATTTCCTTTTACCATTTCCCCCTATGTTATTCACTTATATTTCCAAGCTTGTGGTAGAAAGACCTAAGTGAATATATATTTTCTGGTAGCACTTTTTAGTATACTGTGTACTCAGGTTTATCCAGGGCACACACGAGCTGTATAATATAAAAATGGACATGTCGCCAAAACTGGTTTGGCTCAGTGGATAGAGCGTCGGCCTGCAGACTGAAAGGTCCCGGGTTCGATTCTGGTCAAGGGCATGTACCTTGGTTGCGGGCACATCCCCAGTGGGAGGTGTGCAGGAGGCAGCTGATAGATGTTTATCTCTCATCGATGTTTCTGGTCTTCTATCCGTCTCCCTTCCTCTCTATAAAAAATTAATTATATATATTTATATTTTCATATATATATATATTTTTTTTAAATGACATGTCCCCATGGTTTTCAGATTTTAAGTTTAACACCAAAAAAAATATTTTAACAGCACAATATTTTGGTGTGTTTTTTTTTTTTTTTGTAGTAGAATTTAGTAGTTCTCAATCTTTTTTGCTTTCAATACTCTGCTACTATGAAAAGTAAAGTAAAATAATATGCAACCCTTGAAAAAGTTAGTCATGAATTATAAATAATTCTCTCTTCTAAAATGGACTTTTATGTGTGTATTTCTCCCCTTTACCTTCCACTATTCATATATTCTGAATACATTTACCGAAATAGCTCATACAACCTTTCATTTAGAAGGAGCTGTAAGATGAGGTTGCTCTAACTATTCGCATAACATAGATAGAATTATATTGGAAGATTTTATTTGTGTGTCATTTCTATGTCTGTCACCTCATGTTCTTGTCAACACTATTTTCACTGGTTATGCTTCTCTTCCGCAGACAGCAAGAAGCAGTTCTTGGCATGCTAGATACACAGTGCTGACCTACCTCCAGACCATGGTATTTTACAACCTCTTTATTTTCCTAAACAATGAAGATGCAGTTAAAGGTATCAGGTGGCTGGTCATAAGTCTTCTGGAGGATGAACAGCTGGAGGTAAAATTTAAGTTAAAGCAAATAGAAATTTAAGAAATTCAAAGGAAGCAACATTGCTCCCCTTTAGGTAGCATTTACACATTGATAAGTAGTGTTCTATTAAAGTATAAATCACTAAAAGTAACTAATTTTAGTGTTGCCCTCCTGGATTAGTTTTGATATCCTATTCATGATTTCCTGTAATACAAATGGAAACAAACATTAGACAGTTCTTACCCTGGTTTCTGTTTGCAGTTGTGCAGGTTACGTTTGTGAACCTAAGTTTTCTTATCTATGAAATTGCTGGTGATAATGCTCTGTGTATCTTACTGATTTTTAAATGACTAATAGGAATGTATATGAAGGTAGTTTCAAGACAATAAAAAGTTACAGATAAATGTATTATCTGGTGAATTTAGGGAAGGTTTGTTGTTCCCTTTTATTTTCTTAGTAGAATAATCAAAGGTAACTTTTGTGGTGTAATATTAATATTTTGTACAATACGATAACATTAATTTGTTGAAACAGCCTAATAGAAGAAAAGCATGTCATGACAAATGTGGAGTAAGATGTAACTTCCTAAATTGGCTTTAGGTAAAGAAAATGTAATTGACATTTTCACTTTATTTTATGACTTAATGGGTTTTCCGTGTAGTGGAGCACTCTCATTAATGATACATTTTATTTGAGAGCACTAAAAATAGATTGCATCTATAGGGAACTGGGAGTGGGAATTTTTCCATTTCACTGATGAGCCTGTTCATTTCCCAGTCCAGCTTCTTGTGTTCTTTGAGCAGAGTTGTCTAATCCTTAGGGTACTCCCACCACGGTGACAACTCCGTCAGGCTTCAGTGAAAGTATTTATAGCTACCTGTAAAATTGTACAAACTTTCCTTGTATTGTTTTTAACTAAAGGGTGGAAATGGCAAGGTAGGAACTCTAAAGTCGGTGTTTACTAACTTTAAAGGTTATAGCAATCGCATTAAAATTTACCGTTTTCTGGACCTTGTTTTAGAACATTTTTATATATTTTATATTTTCCTTCATGTAATAGGCTTAAACGTAACTGTTACCATAAATATAACGATGACTTTTATTAAAACTATAATTTTTAAGAGATATGTTGACTAATAATTAAATACAGCTCTTACGATAAGGTTGACAATTTTGTAGTAATCTAAATGAGAAGTGTTTAAAGAAAGCTTTGTAATATTTAAGGAGACTTAGCAGTAGGAAAATAATTTATAGAGAAATTTGATTTTGTATAAAATAGTTACGCATTTAACTGAATGTAGTGGCTTTTTTCAATTTTGAGGCTACAGACCCTTTGACAACCTGATAAAAATCTCTATTCAGAAGCTGCAAAAGAGTATTTACACAGCTCGCATACCAATGCCAGGGAAAGCCCCCACTCCAGTTCCCATACCACCCTCCCACCTCTGATATTGCAGTAGGTTTGGGATCTCCGCTCTAATGCAAGTGATTATATCTCTACAGGTTCGAGAAATGGCTGCGACCACCTTAAGTGGTCTGTTACAGTGTAACTTCCTTACCATAGACAGTCCTATGCAGATTCATTTTGAACAACTTTGCAAAACAAAACTACCGAAGAAAAGAAAGCGAGACCCTGGTTTCGTAGGAGATACAATTCCTTCTGCAGGTAACAATACCGGTAGGAAACACATAAGTCTTCGGAGATTAACCAGGCTTATTCAACAAATATTTATTGAATACTGTATGTGCCCTGGGTCTGTGCTCAGTACTGGGAACAGTTTCTCTGCTCTTGAGCTTTGCATATAGAAGGCAAAACCTGGTATGTAAAAGCTGAGCCAAATCATTATGGCTTCCTTTTTCTTAACTTCAAGCCCCAACCCACCATGTTGCATGTGTACCATATAATATTCCTACAAACATATATCACACACACACATCTTTATTAAAACACTAGAGGCCCAATGCACAAAATTTGTGCAAGAGTAGGTCTTTCTTCCCCCGGCTGCTGGCACCGGCTTTCCTCTGTCACCCAATACCCGGGCTTCCCTCACAGCCCTGGCTTTGTCCAGAAGTATGTCCGGTCTAACTAGCATTTTATGCTTTTATTATTATAGATAATGGATATCGGAAAGCACTTTAACTTCTATTGCTAAAGAAAGAATATAGAGTCTGTAGTAAACAGAAACATTGCAGTTCTGTTTTTTGTTTTGTTTTGTTTTGTTTTTTAAATATATTTTATTGATTTTGTACATAGAGGAAGGAAGAAGGATAGAGAGTTAGAAACATCGATCAGCTGCCTCTTGCACAGCCCCCACTGGGGATATGCCCGCAACCAAGGTACATGCCCTTGACCAGAATCGAACCCTGGACCCTTCAGTCCCCAAGCCGACGCTCTATCCATTGAGCCAAACCGGTTTCAGCTGTTTGTTTTGTTTTTAAAGAGCAGTTTATTGCCCTTGCTGGTGGGGCTCAGCAGTTTGTGTCATACCACATACCCAAGGTCAGGGGTATGGGTTGCAGGTTCCATCCCCGCCCCAGTTGATGTGCATGCAGGAGGCAACCAATTGATGTGTTTCTCTCATATCAATGTTCCTCTCTGTCTTCCCCACCTCCTTCCCTCCTACTCTGTAAAAAATCAGCTGAAAAAAGTATCATCCTATGAGGATTAATAACAACGGAAAGAATAGTTTATTGAATTTTAGAGAGAAAAAGAAAGAGAGAGAGAGAGAGAGAGAGAGAGAGAGAGAATTATTGATGTGAGAACATAACATCAATCAGCTGCCTCCTGCATGCCCCCTACCAGAGATTAAGCCCACCATCTGGGTTTATACCCCGGCTGGAATCCAGCCAGCAACCTCTCAGGGCATGGACAATGCCCAACCAACTGAGCCACCCAAGCCAGGGCTTGCAGTTCTCTGCTGAGTGTGTTTATATATCAGTGCATTCTGAAAAGTGTGGTCTAATTTTGATTGCAGTTTGTTTTAGCATCAGGGATTATACTTTTGTATATGATATAAATAGATTTTTTAAAAGCCATTTTGTTAGTTTTAGTAAATTTAAGACACATTTGGATGTCTTGAGTTTGGCCTCAAACACAGAAATTTACACATTGAAAATAACTAGCATAATCTAAAACTAATTTTATTTCACTGTAAAGAGGGCAATAGATTGCTATCACTATTTGCACATTACTTCTGTTGTCTTTGCAGAGTTGGTCAAACGCCATGCTGGGGTGCTAGGACTTGGTGCGTGTGTTCTTTCTAGTCCTTACGACGTTCCCACCTGGATGCCCCAGCTCCTTATGAATCTGAGTGCACATCTGAATGACCCTCAGCCTATTGAGGTAAAGCTTCCTGTTGGTTTCCTTGCCACATGCATTATCAAGAGATGCTTTGTAAAACACCATTTATACTGATAATTCCCTGCACACTCGGACCTGCTTTCATACAGCCACTACTGCCACTGCAGGACCAAGCCTGCTTATCAGTAATCATTAAAATCTTCTGTGTAAATTTTTTATCCTTCGGTAGCAAGGAAATTACTGTAACTTCTATCCTTCCCAGTCCAATGAAAGTAGTGTCAGTGTTGTCAGTATAAATGTTATACTTCTATTTTACTAGCATGTTCTATCTAGGACCTGTCCAATTAGGAGCTAATATCAAACAGGAAAGCCTGGAGTATTATTTAGTGAGCACATATGGTCCTCAATTAAACAACTCGGGAGATGAATGACTTTGTTCTTTTCAGCTTAGTAAATAGATGTTAGGTGTATATCGAAACTGGTTTACTGATGTGGTCCAAGTTCCAGTAGCTTGTCCAATAGCGAGCTTGGTGGCTTTGGGCTCATTGGTTCTGTAGCGCTTGGTGAGCAGTGAGATCTGATGTCTAGAGAGTTTGTTATTTAGCTGAAGGTATCCTAAATATAACGCTAGTGGTTCAGAGAGGTGAGAATAATATGTATGTGGGTTGTTCACTCGACAGATGACTGTAAAGAAGACCTTATCCAATTTCCGAAGGACGCACCATGACAACTGGCAGGAACACAAACAGCAGTTCACCGACGACCAGCTGATTGTTCTCACCGATCTCCTGGTCTCACCATGCTACTATGCATAGGAGGGTAAGTCGGCAGGGCTCTGGGCTTAAAGAAGTCTGATACCCTCAGGCAAGCGTCATTGGGTCACTGACAGGACTAGGTGCTCCTCTAGGTTTTTTCTTGTTGCCGATATTCTTGGGTGTCATTGTTTAGGTAAAGTGTTTTTAAAATATCATTTGCGTAAGTTCCCAAGGAATTTTTCCTGGATTTTCTGCTTCAGTTGTTAAGCAGACGAGTTATGTGACTGCTTTTAGATCTTTGTAAGTGAGTAGGCTTAATAGTCTGGAAATGGTAGACAAAAATAATCTATTTTCTTAAATATTTTTTGTATTGATTTCAGAGAGGAGGAAGAGGGAGATAGAGAGAGAAACATCAGTGATGAGAGACAATCATTGATTGGCTGCCTCCTGCATGTCCCACTCTGGGGATCAATCCTGCAACCCAGGCATGTGCCCCAACTGGGAATTGAACTGTGACCTCCTGGTTCATAGGTCACCGCTCAACCACTGAGCCACGCCAGCTGGGGAGGGGAAAAAAAAGTATTCTTTGTAGCCTCTTAGTGGGGCCTGGGCATTTTGGGTTGCCCCGAGGGCTCTAGGTTCTATATTGTAGTGAGAACATTTCATCAGGATTCTTAAAGATTTATTATCTATTCTTATTAAAGAGGGAGGACCCAGCAGCCTTTCTACTGGGATAGGAAGAATAAAGAAAAATTCACTTACTGGGCTTGACTGAAATTTTTTTCTTCCCTGATACAGGTGAGTAGTCCTCACTTCAAGCTCTTTTCATCAAAAATTCCAGATCCTCAGGTACCATCTGTGGTGGCTCGCTGCTGGTTTTAACTCTCTGCCTTTGCCGAGCTCTCATCATTTTGGTGGTTTCTGTTTAGTCTCATTAGTCTGCGTTCCACAGGTTCTCAGCTGCCATTTGATTTCCTAACTTGTCCGAAACTGTTTCCAGAATATTGATCACTTTTTCTTTGAGGCATCTGACAAAATCACAATGTCTCAGACTAGAAATAATTACCCAATATGATCATGGCATCCAAGACCAGACTGAGTCTAGGAACTCATTAAGAAACAGTTTACTTGGAATGTAGAATGCCCATCTGTAAAACAGGTCCTCTCATTTCATTCATCTCAAATTATTTTGAATTCTTTCCAAATGGCTGTTGGGTTTAGATGGTAGTAGGGCTGTGGGCCATAAATCTGAAGCTTGGAGAGCCAGGAAGATAGAAGGAAGAGAGGACAGGACCTGATGGATTGCTTGACAAGACACAAAAGTGAAGCTGGTGTCCACCATGTACCTCCCGCAGACTGGAGTTTTGGTGCTGAAGAGAAGAGTAACTGTGGGAAAACTTGGGGTTTGGTGAATACATTTTTGATGGATTGTTGTGTGTGTATACAATGTATGATTTTGAAAATAAACATCAATAACAATAAATACCCTGACTGGTTGATTTACCTGTATTCTTCACAAATATTGTTTGACCCACTTTTAAAATTGTTATACTTCACCTAATAGAAGATTGCTGTATTTGCAAAAATTCTGTAATTTCTTTCTGATTTTTTTTTTTTTTTTTGCCTGCAGAATCGTTGAGAGACTAAGAAGTCTTAATATTTAATTGACTTGTTTAATAAATGTTATATAGATGTAAAGGACTGTATAAATTGTAGTGATAGCTTTGGCAAGACTTTGTACAGATGCAACCTTTCACACATCACCATTGTGTAATTTGTAAAATTCACATGTAGCTCTTGATTATAGTGATTTTGGCTTTTGTACCAAATTGAATGCCATTTTTTGCATTTTTAAATTATTTTCTTTTCATGTTACAAAAGCTGAGGTGTGGGGTTTTGTTTGAGTTCATTTAATGTTAGAATGTCTGAATTTTTATGTGACTTTTTTTGTGTGCATCTCAATGCAAACGCCACGTTTGCCTTTGACAAGTTTATAGAATGCAAGGTATCTTCTAGACAAAAAAAAGTAATTCACAAGTTTGTGAATGTCATCTTGCAACACACTCTGTTCAGTCTTCCTTAAAGGAACACTACAGTATATTTTTTAGAATCTACTTGTTGAATGACTCAATGCAGACCTAAGCACAGCAGAGGGCCTGTTACAGATCAGCACACACAGGCATATAGTCCCTGTATAGAGTAGTGCCAAACTGACAATTTCATTGTGTAACTAGTTTAAAACCCAATAAATGAATTGTTTTTAACACCTGGCTTTTGTCTTCATTAAGTGGACAGAACAGTTCTGTAGGCAGTGACTCTATAAGTTTCCTTTGTACCCATAGATCTCAATCCATAAATTCATGCCCCCAGACCAAAATGAGTTATCTAGGTTGGATCTTTCCACTAGAGTGGCTATTTACTTTTAAATTAAAAATTCATTTCCTCGGTCTCGCTAGACCCATTTCATGTACTTACTAACCACTGGTGGCTAGTGGTTACTCTATTGAATAGCACAGATCAATATTTTCATCAGAAAGTCCTATTTAGCAGCTGATCTAGATGATTGATATGTCTAAGAACCCCAGAGATTTTGTTAAAATATGAATTTAATTCAGGCCCCTTGCTAATGATATTGATGCTTTGTCCTGAGACCACACCTTGAGTAGTGAGGCTTTATAATAACTGCTTCAGCTTTTTCTAAGCTATATGAAACAATGCAATGTTGCTGAAGTGGAACTTTAAAAAAAAAATTAGGATACTGAATCCACAGTGTTCCTGGTTTTGCAGATTTTCTTTTTTCTTTTTTTTACAAGTAAGGCTGTGTTCTTAACACTTGGCTGGGATATTTGATAGACAAAATTATAGTAGCTTTGCTGATAGAATTTTGGTAGTTTGATTTCCTCTTCTAGGTCTCTGGAATCATTTACTACCATGTTTCTCCAAAAATAAGACATCCTCCGAAAATAAGACCCACTTACAGGTTTCCTTCTGAGTGAAATATAAGGCATCCCCTGAAAATAAGGCCCCCCCAGGCTAAACATGAGAGATTTGGTCCACTGATTCTGAAAGAAAGGAAGTCACAAGAAATTCACCAGGAAATTCAGGAATTGGATTGTTATGATGATGTTCCAGAAGATGATGACATGATTGTCATTGAATAAATGAGTAAATTCTTGATACTGTAGGATTCACAGTTTGTCTGGTTTGTGTTGACAACTATCGTACTACCGTACCGTATAGAGGTAATAAATTTCCTTTATTTTCATTTAACAATAAATGTGTACCATATTCTTCATGAAAAAAGACATCCTCTGAAAATAAGACCTAGCGCATCTTTGGGAGCAAAAATTAATATAAGACACTCTTATTTTTGGGGAAACAGTAGCTGTAAATTTGTTTCTTCCACAGTAACAGATAATTTCTCCCATGGGTGTAGCTGCTACTTGCCAGCCCAAACCTGTCATCTGGCATGGCTGAGCAGGGATATAACTTAGGAGTTTCATTCACTACTAATGTCTTTTTTTTTCCTTTTGGTTATTTCTAGGGCCGTGGATCACCACTGCTGACAACCTAGATTTGAACTGCTTCATTGCATGTGTTTGGGAGAGGGATATTATAATACATAGGAATTAATGGGAAATTTGCCTTTAGGAATAAATTCACTTCTAAACCAAATTCTGTGAGCAGTCAACTCCTGGACTGAATGTCCACTTCACAAGTTATCCAGCCTTTTTATTTACGATGAAAGCACAGGGGAACTGGGAAACGATAAGTTCTATGCATAAGTCAAGTTCTTTGGTACTTGGTACCAAACAGTTTAGCCACAATAGGATTTCAACAGCATATTCACTTGAACTGAGTTTTCTGGCATCAGGGTGAAAGAAAGGGCATTCAAAGAGCATTCTCATTTCTAAATACTATCCCCATCCCCACCCCCACCAGGTTAGAAAAGCAGTAAGATCCCAGTCACCCAGAATAGGATGTTACTTGAAGGCTCAGACTAAAAAGAAACCTGTGAGTTCATTGTTTGGGCATATGGATTCTATAGAGGAACGAGGATGGTAGTTTTGGGTTTGGATTCTTCATTAAACTGCCTAGCTGCATGCCTACGATCATTGCTTTCTATGATTTTTAACATTCATGTCCATGGCTGCTTGTCTTGGTTATTTGCATGGGTAGTTTTGCTGTATGTTTTGTGTGTGTGTGTGTGTGTGTCTGTGTGTCTGTGTGTTATGTGTTTGTGTTTACTTTGCATTTGTTTCCTAGTAATTGTAAGTTCCTTTAGTAAATTCACCATTAATTTTTGAAAGAGCTGAAAGAAGAAAAGATGTAATTCTTTTTATAAACTTGGTTTGATGTAAATGTTACGACTTGATGTACAAGTACTGGGTCTCAAAGTACGAAACTGAACGCTGCCAATTTAGGAGAAAACGTGTTTAGCTGCAGCCCGGAGAGCCTGGCGGGCCCCAAAGCCGGGAACGCAGGCGGAGGGCTGGCGAGAAGCCCACCGGCCCCAGCCACGGGGCGCCCCTCCGAGACCAAGAACCCCTGGGCCGCCGTGTGCTGTGGGCGCCCCCTCTCTCCAGGCTTCCACCCAATCCGCCGGCCGCCCGCTGCCTACATAAGGGAGCCGGGAGGACGCGGAGCGCCAGCCCAGCGCACACGGCGGCCGGCGAGGTGGTCAGGGCACGAGGGCCGGCGGGGTGCCAGGCCTGGCGCCCGGCGGAGGGGGCGGCGCCCTCCGCGGCTCGGGACTGCCCTCTGCGCCCCCCGCTCCTGCGGCTCCTGTGGCTCCGGGATGCGCGGAGGCGGCGGCGGCAGCGGCGATGGCGATGGTGCCTCCGGCCCCGCATCCTCCCGGGCGGCGGGTGGAGCTGGGGTATGGGCTGTGAGATGGAGGAGAAGGGGCGGCGCTGCGGCCACCCTGCAGGTGAGGAGCTGCGGGCCCTGGAGGGGGCCACCCAGGGGACAGGGAGGGTCGGGCACGGGGAGCCGGTGGGTGAGCAAAGAGCGCGCTGGTCCCAGCCCGGCCCCTGCGCACCTGCTGTCCCGGCGCAGCCCGCGGAGCAGCCATCCTGCCGGCCGCTCCCCGCTCCGCGGGGCCCGGGAACCCCTCCCCCACCGCCCGTGGCCTGGCCTGGCCTCCTCACCCCACCAGCCCTCTCCCGCCTGGCTCCCTAGCTTCCCTGGCCAGGCCTAGGCCCTTCTCACCATAACCTTCTCCACCTGGGGACCTCCTGCCCATCGCCAGCTCCTGGCAGGGGTCGGTGCTCACCCCTCCTTCCATAGACAGATTAGGGGGTTCCACTGCCCCCCATTGCCCCTCAGATATTGACCCCATCCCACCCCATCCGCTGCTCCCAGCCTCAAGAGGTAGTTCAACTGGGGACAAAGCGCTTGCAGGGCTCTGGAATCAGATAAATCTGGCTTGGATCTTAGTGACCTTGGGCAAGTCATCTTTCCTGAGGTATTCGGATCAATACAAATACAATGGGAATGACACAGAATCTCCGAGGGTTAGACTCTGAAAATGCCCGCCCTCGAGGAATGCAAAGCCTTAAGGGAAAAAAAAAAAGACTGGGAAGAATCCAGGTCATGAGTGTACTTGGGAAAGCACATATAAAATGTTTTACTATACAGTAAAATATTAAGACAACACACCAAATTATCAGAGAGTCTTCACACATCTTAAGGGAAATAATTGCCCACTGTACAATAAATTTTTTCTTTCCATATTTTACTACTTTAGGATCCTTTCTCTCAGTTGTAACAAGATGCACGTGATATGAATTCATCCCATGTTTATCGTAACTAAATAGGCCTGCTTAAGGCAGGTGTTCCAACTTAAAATGTTTCTGGTTTTATGACTTTAATCACATTGTCCTCCAAGACCTATTTATGGTCCCCCAGAGATACAGAGTAGCTTGTAGGCTTGCATTGAAAACCTTTAGTTAATATTTAGGCATAGCAAATATCGCTATTTCTTTACCTCCCTTCCTCAAATCACTGACTTTTATAATTCTGCCATCATAACTTTGTCCCAAACTGTGATCTCTGCCTCCTCTTTCTTATAGTCACAGAGTTAACACTAATAGTATTTACTTTCCTTCCATTTCCTTTATTTCTCTTCAAGTTTCTCTGCCAACACCTTTACTTCTATTCTGTCTTCTGCTTTTCCTCCCCAGCCTCTGATTCCTAACTTTCCCCCAAATTATCCCAATAGGAGTGATTTATAATTACATTAGGGGCCCAGTGCACAAATTCATGTAACTTGAAAGGAACTGTGGGCCAAGGGGTGGGTCTCAGCCCATCCTCCATCCCTCCTCCTGGTCCCTCTTGCCATGGCCCCCTATCCCATCTGCTGGCAGCCCCACTTGCACCCGCTGATGGCATGGAACAATTGGGGCTGGTGCCAGCAGTGGGTGTGAGTAGGGCCGGCACTGTCAGGGGGTGCGAGCTGCAGCTGCTGCCCTGATCACCCCTCAGGAGCAGGTGGAGGTGAAGACCTCAGGGACGATCCAGGCTGGCAGCCACTGCTTGTATCCACTGCCTGCGCCTTGCACTGGTACCAATCACTCAGCGCCGTCAGTGGGTGCGAGTGGCAGGTCCAGCGCCAGCTGTGGGTGCAAGCTGGGTCGGCACCAGCAGCAGATGCGAGTGTTGGGCAGGACCATGGCATGCAGGAGCAAAGAATTTTCAGTAACCACTAGAGGCTCGCCCTGATGACAGTGACTGGTGGCCCACCATGGTCTGGCACCCCCACTCCCCTGCTCCACCATCTGGCTGCAGCCGACACCGCCATGTTCAGCACTCTGCTGCCTGCTGCCCACGCCCGCCATGTTCTACTTGCACCCTGGTGGTCAGCGCATGTCATAGTGACTGGTTATTTGGTCGTTCTGCTGTTCAGTTTATTTACATATTAACCTTTTATTATATACGATTATGTCATAACTATCAACCTTAACAAAAAGGTACACAGTGTGTGTGTGTGTGTGTGTGTGTGTGTGTGTGTGTGTGTTTTCAAATGTTGGTTTCCAAGAACTTTGCATTGGGAAGAGATTGCAGTACCTGCTTGATAGGATTATATTGAGAATGACATAGAGTTTGATGACTTACGTAAAGCTTCTGATGTAAGTGCCTGGCATACTAGCCACCCAATAAACTATAGCTGCTGTAACAATCTTCTGATCTGGGGATCTTTCCCTTGGTCTCGTTCTGCTTTGTTTAGCGTGGTGGGGAAGAGTGTGGGCATTAGAGAGTAACTGCTGACATTCAAAGTCATGCTCTATCACTTTACGTCAGGTGCTCACAGCCGTACCTGTGATTGAATGCCTAGAGGCTTCTATACCGTGGGTGGCCCATAGCTGCTTCCTGGAGCCCCCAATCACCCCTCCAGGACCTAGCCCCTTTTCTGCACCCCAAGATCCAGCACCAAGGGGTAAGCTCTGACACAGCTGGAGGTCTCAGGGACTCAGCTTGAGTTTGAGGTTAAATAGTCTGAAGTTTGCCCTGGACCTCCCCAGTGCCATTATTTGTTCCTAAAAATGCTGGATGAAAGCAAATACCTTTTGGTTGTCAAGAGCATTGCATCCGTCTCCAAGGAACAAGTTAAGCTGCCCCACTTAGAAGCATCTTGGGGAGCAGGGTGGGCACCGAGCCCCTCAGGGCTTTGGGACTTGGGATAACAGAAGATTTGTGTGAGTGTACTTTCAATCTCATTGTGAAATGAGGGAAAGCTTAAGACAAATAAAGGAGCAAGAAGGAAAACAAGTTCTTCCATTAAAGTACAAGCTGTGTCTTACCTTTCTACTCACAGGGCCTAGCAGAAAGCTGCATACAGTACGCACATGATGAACGCAAACTGAGTGAATGAAGGCATGAGTGGGCTGGGGGCATGCCCCCTGCTCTGTCCTGAAGATATGATTGTTGGAATAATGTTAACTCACATTTGCAGAGCAGTTTAAAGTCTACAAAGTAGTGCCTTTGCACCTTATAAATCTCAAATATAATTCTGATACCCTTCACTAATTTTATTTCCCCCATCACCTACACAGTTTTTTCCAAAAGACAGTATGGAGTTGGCCAAGAAATCACAAGCAGCCGGGACCGGTTTGGCTCAATGGATAGAGCGTCGGCTTGGGGACTGAAAGGTCCCGGGTTCGATTCCGGTCAAGGGCATGAACCTTGGTTGCGGGCATATCCCCAGTAGAGAGTGTGCAAGAGGCAGTTGATCGATGACTCTCTCTCATCGATGTTTCTAGCTCTCTCTCTCTCTCTCTCCCTTCCTCTCTGTATAAAATCAATAAAATATATTTTTTAAAAAAGAGAAAGAAATCACAAGCAGGGAGAAGGAATTGTGAATAATGGCAAGTAAAGGATTCTTCTTAGGGAAAGAAATAGGATTTGTTAGCAGTCTGTGGGAGTGACATACAGGACTCCAGTCTATTTCAGCAGTACCCTCTGTTTCTCTTTTAAGCATGTGCTGGTTTTGCCCCAATCCCGCAAAGACTTACACCCTTCTTGTAGTCTGTCTGTCCCCTTCTCCTTGCCTTCACCATTCACCCAGCGAGCTCCTCCTTCCAGGACTCCCTTCAGCCTCTCAGCCTCTACCCTGGGCTGGATGAGGTTCCCCTTTCTTACTTCCACAGCACCTTGCTCCCATCTGATTCACAGCGTTGGGCTGTGATTACATAGTTAGGTTGATCTCCAGCTAGATGGTGATCTCCTTGGCCAACAGGTTATATTCTTGTGTCTCTAATGTCTGGCACCGGAGTGTTTCTAAAAATAGCATCTGGACACCCTTCAGTCAGAATCTCGATGGGTGAGGCCTAGGAATCTCCTTTAAAAAAACAACAACATATTTTGATTGATTTCAGAGAGAAAGGGAGAGGAATAGAGAGATAGAAACATCAATGATGAGAGAGAATTATTGATTGGCTGCCTCCTCCACGCCCCCTACTGGGGATCAAGGCTGAAATCCAGGCATATGTTCTTGGCTAGAATCGAACCCGGGACCATTCAGTCCACAGGCTGATGCTCTATCCACCAAGCCAAACTGGCAAAGGCTCCCATTTTCTTTTTTTAACCTGCTCTCGAGGTGATGCTTAAGGCCAGTTTGGAAACCACGGGGTCATAAAACCTCGGGTGAGCTGGATGAGTGTATCTGGAAGTGTTTCTGTCTTTGCCTGCTGGGCTTTCTGTGTCACGGCTGACGCATTCTAGTGCTTTGGACAAAGATCACGAGAGCCCTAACTGGCTACATTAACTCCTTTCTGTTTGTGGGGATGCTTTTTTGTGTGCAGGCCTTTCTGCCTCGGGTCTCTCTTGTCACGTGCCGCTCCTCTGTGAGCTGAGGCCCTGACTCCCCTTCCCACGGAAGGAAGAGGCCTTTCTCTCTGAAGATGAACTCCACGGACCTCTTCCCGGACGCTCCCAACGCCACCTGGCCCGCGCCTGGCGCCCCTGCGGGGAACGGCACTGCCCTGCGGGAGGGTCTCCACGTCCTGGTCCACACGGCCACGCTGGTGACCTGCACGCTCCTGCTCGTCATCGTCTTCTGCCTGGGCTCCTACGGCAACTTCATCGTCTTCCTGTCCTTCTTCGACCCGGCCTTCAGGAAGTTCAGGACCAACTTCGACTTCATGATCCTGAACCTGTCCTTCTGCGACCTCTTCATCTGCGGCGTGACGGCCCCCATGTTCGCCTGCGTGCTGTTCTTCGGCAGCGTCCCCGCGGCCTTCTGCTTCACCTTCCACCTCACCGGCGCCGGCTTCATCCTCATGTCCCTCAAGACGGTGGCCGCGATCGCCCTGCACCGGCTCCGCATGGTGCTGGGGAGGCAGGCCAACCGCACGGCCTCCTTCCCCTGCACCCTGCTCCTCGCCCTGCTGCTCTGGGCCACCAGCTTCACCCTGGCCACCGTGGCCACCCTGAAGACCCGCACGCCCCCCCTCTGCCTCCCCATGTCCAGCCTGGCGGCCGGCGAGGGCAGGGCCGTCCTGTCCCTCTACGTGGCCGACTTCGCCTTCTGTGTGGCCGTGGTCTCCGTGTCCTACATCATGATCGCCCAGACGCTGCGGAAGAACGCTCAGGTCAGGAAGGGCCCCCCTGTGATCTCGGTGGACGCCTCCCGGCCGCAGCCTTTCGCGGGGGCGCCCGCGAAGGGAGGCGGAGACCCCGTCCAGTGCGCCGTGCCCGCGCTGTACAGGAACCAGCACTACAACAAGCTGCAGCCCGTCCAGACCCACGGCTACGCTCAGGGTCCCGGCCAGCTGCCCACCCCGGCGGCCAGCCGGCTGCAGCTGGTATCGGCTGTCAATCTCTCCGCAGCCAAGGATTCCAAGGCCGTGGTCACCTGCGTGGTCATCGTGCTGTCGGTCCTGGTATGCTGCCTTCCCCTGGGGATTTCCCTGGTGCAGGTGGTTCTGTCCGGAAGCGGGAGCTTCATCCTCTACCAGTTTGAGCTGTTTGGGTTCACCCTTATCTTTCTCAAGTCAGGATTGAACCCTTTCATATATTCCCGCAACAGCACGGGGCTGAGGAGGAAGGTGCACTGGTGCCTCCAGTGCGTCGGCCTGGGGTTTTTCTGCTGCAGACAGAAGACTCGCCTTCGCGCCATGGGCAAAGGGAACCTGGAGGTGAACAGGAACAAATCGTCCCATCATGAGACGAACTCTGCCTACATGCTGTCTCCCAAGCCCCAGAAGAAATTCGTGGACCAGGCTTGTGGGCCAAGTCACTCCAAGGAGAGTGTGGTCAGCCCCAAGTTCTCCGCGGGGGGACATCAACTCTACGGTCAGAGCAGCTCGACGCCCATCAACACTCGGATGGAGCCGTACTACAGCATCTACAACAGCAGCCCGTCCCAGGACGAGAGCCTGCCGTGCCACTTACAGCCGGTGAGCGCGTTTGGGTTTGCCAGCTCCTACGTGGCCATGCACTACCACACCACCAACGACTTGCTGCAAGAATGCGACAGTGCTTCCGCCAGGCAGATCCCCGTCCCCTCTGTGTAGAGCGACGGAGGCTGGAGCATCTTAGAATAAACTGTTCTTGTTTCTGGCGCTGAGGGGTTTCTTATTTTCACTCTTGTGAGACCAGTTGTCGAGCAAAGCTTTAAGACTCCGCTCAGCAGTTGGCAATTATGATTTTCTTTCGTCGCATTTTATTAGCATCTGTCGGTTTGCCTTGTGGTCTCTTGGCACTTTAAGGTTTAGTGTCGAAGCTTATCGTTTAGAATTGTACCCTGACCTGTGTTCTAGTCTTTTGTACTAAACTTTTAAATAGACCGTGCTACTATGTTAAAGCAGAGAATGATCATTTGGTTCAATTTTATGGGTCTTTGAAGTATATATGAGCTGGATATCTTAAAAGAATGTGAAGGTATATAATTTTTACTGAGGTGTCATTTTTATTAAGTTATAAATTTTGATTTTTTGAAGTGTTGAAATGGAGGAGGATACACTTTTTTCGTAGCAGACTTATTTGAATAAATAATACCGGGTTTCCCCGAAAATAAGACATCCTCCGCAAATAAAAACCTAGCGCAAGGAAAGATAAGACATCCCTTGAAAATAAGACCTAGTGCAACTTTGGGAGAAAAAATTAATATAAGACACTGTCTTATTTTCGGGGAAACAGGGTATATTGTTAAAGCAGAAAATCAGAAATACATTATCTATATAATTATCCTTACAAAAAATACACAGGTATTAGGTACTTTCCTAAGACAGTCAACCTAAAATATATTATTATTATTATTATTATCATTTATTATAATAGACATTGTTATATAGTGTCAATTGAGTAGCTGTGGTGTTTTTTTGTTTTGTTTTGTTTTAAGAAATGTTATTGCCCTAGCTGGTTTGGCTCAGTGGATAGAGCGTCAGCCTATGGACTAAAGTGTTCTGGTTTTGATTTCAGTCAAGGGCACATGCCTGGGTTGTGGGCATGAACCCCAGGGGCCATGTAGGAGGCAGTCAATCAGTGATTCTCTCTCATTAATGGTGTTTCTATCTGTCTCTCTCCCTCTCCCTTCCTCTTTGAAATCAATTATATATATATATATATATATATATATATATATATATATATATATATATATATATATATATGTTATCCCTTGGTAAAAGTGAATTATTCTATTCTATTTACTAGAATCCTAATGAAGAGGATGCATCTGTGGGAGCGGTACGCTACTCCTGGGAGAGTTGGTGCTAAATGTGTTCATCTCAGTCAGGGTTTTGTTATCTGGGAAGCAATATAGAGTGTATTGTGTTAGATTGTTTATTATTGCTTAAGAAGGCATAAGGATGAGAATGGAAATTTAAAAAAAATGTTTAAATTGATTTCAGAGAGGGCAAGGGCAAGAGAGAGAGAATTATTGATTAGCTGCTACTGCACACACCCTACTGAGGAGCAAGTCCACAACCCAGGCATGTATTCTGACCTGGAATCGAACCGTCACCTCCTGGTTCTTGGGCCAACTTTCAACCACTGAGCCACACCAGCCAGGCTGGGAATTTTAAAAAATATATTTCTATTGATTTATTTTTAGAGAGATAAGGAGGGAGAGGGAAAGAGAGAGAAGTATCAATATGAGATGTAAGAAGGGAACATTAGTTGGCTGCCCCCTGCATGCCTGCTCTGGGGATTGATCCCGCAACTGGAGCATGTGCCCTGAACTGGAAATCAAACCAGCAACCTTTGGTGAGCTTGATGACACCCAATTCATGGAGACACACCAGACAGGGCGGAAATGGGAATGTTTTGATTTATGCTTTCCTTCTGTGTGAGATGGTTTGTTAACAATCGGATGAAGAGTATCCAAGTAACTATTTAGAATTTTTTTTTGTCTTTCTTTATATATTATTGTGGTAGAAAAATCCTTAAGATCTCTTTTTACTAGTAAACTAATTGTATTATTCTCTCCCATTAATCTTAAACTGGAGATGGGCAGTAAGGAAAAGTAGATTAAGTATTTCTATACCTAAAACTCATTTTGTTATATACAATACTCTGTGATTTCTAGCATAACACTGTAAACTCATATTTTTATGTAAAAATGTTTTCATTCACAATTAGCATTTGAACTTGTTATAGTTTTAGAACTGTAACTGCTAGACACAGGATGAGCATCAAGATACAAAATCTGTCTTTAAAAAAAAATCTATCTTTAGAGATTGTTATAATTCAAGAACAGTTATTGCAAACTGGAAGGCACTTTTCTCCTGTGGATGAAAGATGTTGTTTGGAGCATTCTCTCCCAGGTTGGTCCCAAGTACAGAGGTCAAGTTGGGCATGGAGAAGACGCAGTGGGCACTCAGCTAGAACTCTGCTCAACCTCACTAATGACGCTTCCCGTTCAGTAGCAATCATTTATTTCTGTTTCTGAGACTGAAGTATGAGATATGGGTTTCAACTTCTTTTCTTTTTTTAAAATGTATTTTTATTGATTTCAGAGAGGAAGGGAGAAGGAGAGAGTGATAGAAACATCAATGATGAGAGAAAATCATCGATCAGCTGCATCCTCATGCCCCCTTAATGAGAATCATAGGCCAGGCATATGCCCTGAATGGGAATCAAACTAGTGACCTCCTGGTTCCTGGGTCAATTCTCAACCACTGAGCCACACCCAGCTGGGCTCAACTTTTTTAAAAAATTCACCTTTCAATACCCTTCCCTTCCTTCTCTTACTTTTTTTCCTTTATTTTTACTAATGCAATTTTATAATGGCAGAGCAAATATCCACTCTTTTATTTTTGGAATGGAATACTAATTTTGGAAGTTATGGCCTGTTTCAATTGTGCTTTTGTATTTTAAATATAATATTATTTTCATTCATTAATACTGTCATGAGATAGGTTAATTATCTCTTTTTAAACAAAGGACTATGATATCTAACATCCTCTCCCAAGATCATTTGAAGTATTTTGGCAATCTAGGAATTGGACTTTTTTGTCTAAAATCAGACCCTGGTATTTATTCCAATAAGCAGACAGCTTTATAACTAAAAACATTAATGAAGAAGATATTTCACACTTTTGAAGGTATGTATCTCTTTTTTGGTTAGAGATTTCAAATGTGAGTCAATAAAATATTTTTTTAACGTAATGTCTACTTGTAAAATTAAACCTGGAGATGACTTGGCTCATGGGGGGGTGGGTACAAATGATAAAGAAAATTAAGCATGTGCACAGGTGGCATTCAGTCTCTTTATGCTCATCAATAAGTTATTGTTTTAATTTGCATGAAATACATAGTGGGCTAGATTCTTAGCCCTCCTCCATATCTATATGCACTTATAGATATAGATGGCATATATAACTTCTCTCTTCTGAAGGGCTAAAATGAGAACTAGAAGTAATGAGAATTCAGTTGAATATGATGAATTACCAGGTTATATTAATTAGTTCTCTTGATGCTTTACTGTGATGCATTTCAAGCACTTTATAATTGTTTTGAGGTTAATCACTAGGCCTGATTTGTATTTCTGATGCTCTTAATGTTCTTTTAAAATAATGTTTGGAAAATAAAAATATTGATAATTTTAACATTGCTGAATATCAGATTGCAATAGTATGAGTTTAAAACTATCCAATCATTTAAAAACTATCAGAGACTAACATTATTTATATTGCATAATAAATAACAATGTATTGCCATAGCCAGTTTGGCTCAGTGGATAGAGTGTTGGCCCATGGACTGGACTCAATTCTGGTCAAGGGCACATATCTCAGTTGTAGGCTTCATTACCAGTCCTGCGTTGGGATATGGGTGGAAGGCAACCAATCCATGTCTCTCTCTCTCTCTCTCTTTCTCTCTCTCTCTGCTCTCCCCCTCCCTTCCACTCTTTCTACAATCAAACAAAAAAAATTGAAGCTCAGAGTTATTTTTCTTAAAATATGAAGTAACTGGCTTCATCTTTTTGTAGCATCTTTTTGATCACATTTTGTAGCATGCATAAATGCTCAAGAATAACTAAGAAGAACTCCAAAGGTTAATTATTTATTCAATTAAGTTTCTCACCGGGCAGGAAAAGTCCTGACTAATCATTTCAAAAACTTCTTTAAAATAAGATTAAAATCTGGAAAAGGATACAGAATTTTAGAATTTTTAGTTTATCAATCAGAGTTGGTGCTTAAGAATCAGAAAATGTTAATTTAAGCAGAAAAGGACTGAGTATAAGAAATTCTATGTCTACTGAATCATTAGAAGTTCAGGGCTCTGACAGTTCCATGATCAACACTGACCAGCTGGGAGAGTTGCCGCTTTTGTTGCAACTGGGAGGGGAGAAGCTAGGAGGCCTCCTTGGGCCTCCACCGTCCAGGGCACCTGCTGAAGTTGTTATTCAGAGTTCAGGAACCTGCTGCCACTGCTGCTACCTCCACAACTAAACCTCTCAACACCCACAAAGCAAGCGGCTGACACCAAAACACGGCTGCAGAGAAAGCTTGGCACTGTGCATTTAGTTGGTGGAACCCAACTTGCATTTACTAGTAAAATCCTAGCTGCCCGCACTTCTGGAAACTGTAGTTACCTGGAAAAGATAAACTAAAAGGAGGTTTGGAACAGATACTGAATTCCAATCTCCTCTGTCCATCGTGGGCCACCAGTTTGGTTCTTAAGCCTGTATCCACACTCCTAGGCAAACTTCCAAACAACAGCAACGGCAGCAGCACCATTTCCCACTTGAAATAATGCACCTGCTCTCACTGAAACAAAGCCGCCTCCGTACCTCCAGCCCAGCTGCTTTTATTGTCTTCTGTTCCTTTGGTGCTCTGCAGTTTACCTTGGGATTTGTTGGACTCCTTGAATCTGCATCCTGGTGTCTTTCATTGGTTCTGGGAAATTCTTTTTTCAAATACTGTTTCTGTCCCATTTTCTCTCTCTTTTTTTTTTTTTAACCTTGGTTTTTATTTTATTTTTTTCTCTGTCTTTGTTTCTTCGTTGTATGTCATACACCGCATAATGACATTTTGATCAAAGATGGACCACTCGCCGAAGCCAGTTTGGC